TATCTATACTAAAACTACTTAGATTATAACAACGCTATAACTATAGCTACGGCTATACCTAGGACCGCGACCGCGACTATTATTACGCTTATATAAGCTCGGCTTACATCTACCTTAGAAAAAGGCTAGAGCTTTCTTAATAAGCTTAGGCTTAGGCTTGGGGGCTCATAGGTGCGCACCTAGGTGCGTAAATGAGATTACTTAGTCAGCCAAAACCCACAAATATTACTTACGCACTAATCAGATACTTCGGGATACTTTCATTAGGAGTATCTAAGCGAGCCTTATCTTCTAACGCAGGATTAAGCCACTAATTATTATCTAAAGGCTCTTTCGTAATTATAAGCGACCCTCCGACTATCGGAGAGTCTATCAACAATACCTTACCCCGCGAGAACGAATATCTATCTCGTAAAGCCCTTATATAGGCCGCTAATATATAGGCAGCCGCCAGGGGCTACGCATTCGTGACTATTAAGTCGAAGTTATTAACGAGCGGCCGACGGACTATATTCCTTAGCTATAATCGAGCAAGGACGAGGCCTAGTAGCTCTATACCGCGCATACGGTCTACTATATTAAAGCGTATAGGATACTAATTCTCGGTGCTCGCGAAGGAATTGCTAGATAAGTCGGTCTAGTACCTCGCGTATCGTACTAATAACTTTAGGCGTTATAACTACGGCCTAAGCTTCGATATTATCGCTTATCTAGTCTATCGCTAGTTATCGTAGACTGATATAACTTCTATCCACGCCCTTACGAACGCTAGGATTATACCTAAAGAGATTCGCTCTTACTTACGCACGCACTCTAAGTCTAGCACGCGAGCTACCTAGCAAGATATCTATAACTATATCGCGGAAGGTAAGCGATCGCGCTAGGAAGACTAAAGCACGATTCATACCCTCGCTAACGAACTCGAGATAGAGGGCTTCTAGAGTTATATCCGCTTCGACGACGATAGTAAGGTTATAGCCGTGATATTTATATACCTAGAGTCGTTAGGATACCTAAGTCTATACCCGGATACCCTTATTCTTAATTATATATATAAGACTAAGAAGTACCGGATACCCCTCCTCGATATAATCGGCGTAGATACTTACTAACGCTCTTTCTATATCGCCTTTACCTTCCTTAGCGGGGAAGAAGAGATAGATTATATCTAGGTATTAGATCGATTGCGCTCGATATATAATACCTACTGGGTAAGGCTACCGAGTATTATCCTCACCGATCGCTACCTCGCCTATATAAACGCTATATCTATATACTTCCTAGACACGGTAGCTCTATTATACCTCTAGCACGCGAATAAGGTAGTCCCCCGCTATTACTTACTAAGCTTCTGTAACGATATTAGCTAGACGGAGGGCTAACTTATAATATAGGATTTCTATAGGATATAATATAAACTTATTGCCTCGATATCTAGCGAAACCTTTAAGTAAAGGCTCTAGGCCCTTAAAGAACATTACGTAATAATATACGCTAGAGAAGTTAGCTATATTATAGAAATCTAGCTCGACCTATATAAAGAGAGGTTTATAAAGGCCTAGGTTAATAAGTATACGTATTTCGATAATATAGTTATATCCCGCGGCGAGGGCATTCACTAGCTAATTAAGATCTATCTTTATACGAATTAACTAGATCTCTTTAACGCCTGGAAGTCGATTACGCGCGTAGTCCTTAATTAAATAGCCTCGCTACGGGATAATTAGGCCAAGCAGCGACTTCGTATACCGATCGGACTTAATAAGAAGCTATATACTATCGTGCATAGCTAGATCTCCTACGAGGCGTTACGGAAGGTCGAGGGCTAGAGGAAGTTACTTATATTAAATAAGGCACTTCCTCCCTATATAGGCAGATTCATATCGTCACTCGGCCTCCCTTACGCTTATATACTCGAGCCCCTTATAAAGGAATAACGGCCCCTCTAGCTAAGCTAATTTCACGTACACTAGTACCTTTAGCATAAAAAGAGGCTTGATATACTTTGGAGGTTGTGTGGCCATTCAACCAAGATGCATCTGCGCTGTGTGTGGGTGTCACGTGCTGGTCACGTACACGCACAGGTACGATAGCGATAAGAAAGCATTAATAACGCCGCAGCCAATCAGGCTACGCGCACACGATCCGAGGAGCAGCCGCGCGATGCCTATCTAGGCTAACCGACTGGCTGCCTAAGGACGTTTAAATTAATTATCTTTTTCTACCTATTTAATCTACTTATTAATATATTAGAGTAATAATAATTCTAGACTCCCTTATTAATTAATAACCCTTAAATAACTACTTTATTAATCGTAGGTATCTTCCTAGCGATTCCCTATAACTTATTCCCCTTATATTCCTCCGCGCGCTTATTTAATCGACCCCTAGAGGCTGTGATAAATCGCGTAGCGGCCTATATTACTTATATAAGACGAATCTCGTCTAGGCCCGATCCCCCGTAAGAAGATTAGCCTACGGAACAAGGTCGCGATTAATTAACTAATTAAATATACTTAAATTATCATATTATTATTAATATTCTGATTTATTATTAATTACTAAGAAATCGTGAGATTTAGGTGTATAATATACCTCGCTTTAGTAAAGGTACCTCGTGGAGGTCTAAAGTAGCCGCCTCGTACCGCGAGGGTTAGCCCTCTAAGTAAGAGAACCTTAACCCTTTATTACTAAGCTCTAATATTGACCCTTGAATATCTCCTTTTTAATATCGCTACGAAACTTTGCCGCCCCTATGTGACGTTCGGGTCTAGACTAGCTACCGGGTAGATAGAATAGAAGTCAGTGAATGAACTGAGTATACTAGGATATCGTTGACTTAAGCGGTCGGGATATAGTTTATATACGAGATAATAGATCTTACGTAGATAATTATATTAATAGCTAGGGAGAGCTAGTAGAGACTAACCATAGTGAAGCTAGGCTTCTTACATACTATGGTGATTGTCATCCCTAATAATAATCCGTTCTATTTACTTACAGCGATTTATAATAATCGTAATAATCACGGGCGCGATTATTCGTATAAGTAATAATCGTATTATAAATAGATAGAAAAAGTAAGGTATACTTAGATATACGTAAAGGCCGTATATTAGGTCATAATATAATACCCCTCCTTCCGAGATCTTATCCCTATTATATATTACGCGCCTTTCCCTAACCTATTGGTTCTAGTAAGTTCTTTCTCTTTTAATTCCTTCGCTATAATAAAGTAAAGATAAAATTATAAAAAAAGAAAATCAGGTTCCGGGCTAGATATAATATAGATATATATAAAGTCTTAATAAATTATAACTTAGTTTACTCCGCTATAGCGAGGCCGGGCTAGCCTATAGGTAAAAATAAACTACTTTATTAAACTACCTTAGGATATAGGCCGGATCTATATAAGAATAATAACTTAAGTAATAATAATACGCCTTTTCTTACTATTAATAAGAAAATAACTAAGGCTATAATATAATATCTCTAGCCTATACTCCCTTTAATATTTAGCTCCTAGAACGAAATTAAGTTATATCCGGCCCGGCGATTTAGTATTATACCTAAGGTCGGTCCTTACTTATTTATATTTTAATAAAGAATATTAAGTTTTATTATAGAAAAAGTTAGAAAAGGGGGTATTAATAATTATATTTTTATTTAGGGTAGTTCTAGCCTAATTCTTAAGTAGCTTTATATTAGCTTTTATATAAAAATAAACTATTAAGGCGAAGTTATATAAGTTAGCTCTTAGAACGGGCTAAGATAGTTTTAATAAGCGGATATTACTTTATTTTTAATTTCTTTAGGGATATAATAAAATTAATAAAGTCCTTAATTTCGGTCTTTATAGGTTCTTAAGCCCTTTAAAAGCTAAAAGCGGTTTAGGCGATATTCTAGAACTAGGTTAGTCTCGTTTTTTATATAGCTAGGGCTCGGGTATATTACTTAGCGACTATATAATAGACCCGCGACTAAGCCTTATACTTATTTCTATATATAGTATAGCGCGGGGTCTCTTTATATATCTTATTATTTATAATATTAGGGATAGTTCTATACTAGCTATAGACTATATTTTATTTATATATAGCTATAATATATCCGAAATAATAATATTTATAATATTAGTAAGGTAGGATATTTTTTTCGTAATATTTATAATTATAGATCTCTATATTAATTATTACCCCGGAATTATGTAAATAATTAACTTTTTATAAGCTATCTATATATAAAATAATTATAACCTTAATTATAAGCTTTTTTTTTAAGTTAATCGAAGTATTTTTTATTATATTATACGCGTTCGATCTCTTAATTTCTTTTATTAGCTATATATAGCCTCTTTCGCCCTAGGTTTATTATATAAGGACCCTTTTTACTATAAGGTTAAAAAGCTTCTTATAAAGGGTAGCTTCTAGCCCGAAAGCGGCCTAGACGTTATTCTTATTAAAAGAGGTCTCTTCCGCGATAGCTTTAACGAAATACTCGTCGAGGCCGGCAAAGGACGTTATCTATAATATAAGCACGAAGGAGGGTAAAACACACCTAAAAAAGCTAGTTATAGTTCTAGCTATAGTCACGAATCTACCTAACTAGCGTTCTTATCACGCTTAAGAGCGTAATAAGAATTTCAGCCACAAAATACTAAAACTATAACTAAAAAAATACTCACTATATCTATTAAGGGCATCCCGTAGCCTAATCGAGATATTAGGCCGTAGACCAGGGCCCCTTGCTTAGCGGGATACCTTCGATAGCGTGCTAAGCTAGAAGTCCAGGATTTATCAGGGTTATATACGCTAAAAAAGGGAAAGCGTGCTCGTTGTGCAATTTCAGTTACGTGAATGGCCACGAAGCAAGGTTGCTGATCAGGCCCTAAGAGTACTACTCTTTAATACACTTGTTTGATCTACCTTTAGTGCATGAGATTATAGTAAATAAAATATTACTTATAAAGTATATTTCAACAATACTATGAATCCCGCACATCAACCCATCGTCGTGCACTTTTAAATAAACGTACCCATGGGCCAAATTCCCCCCAATCTCCAACCTCCGGCGGAACATAGCTACCTACATCCGCGAGGATAGTGCGCTCAGGGTGGGGCATCAGGGCCAGTACGCGGCCATCCCGACTCCGTACACCTGCTATCCCACCTGGGCTACCATTTGGGTTATACGGGTATGCTTCCGCGCCCGCGACAGCGAGACGGTTGTTCACATACTTTATGGGTATCAAGCCCTCAGCATCCAGCGAATCATGAGCTGACTGTGAGCTGAAAAGGGCGCGACCTTCGCCATGCGCCACAGCAATTGGCAGTACCGAGCCACCCATTCCGTGAAGAAAAACGGAGGGTGCCTTGGCATCGTCCTGGATCTTGACCATGCAATAGCGCGCTTCATATTGACGGCTTGAGTTCTCCACAAATTTGGGCCAGCTTTCAGCCCCGGGAATCAGGCTCTTCAGGCGGGTCAGCATCTGGCAGCCGTTGCACACGCCGATGGAGAATGTGTCAGCGCGGTTGAAGAAGCTCTTAAACTCTTGTCTGACATGCTTGTGCTCCAAAATTGATTGCGCCCACCCAACGCCAGCTCCAAAGACATCGCCGTAGGAGAAGCCTCCTCCTGCAGCGAGACCGACGAAATCGTGCAGCGACCGTCCGTCGACAATGTCGCTCATATGAACGTCAACAGGCTCGAAGCCTGCTGCTCTAAAAGCGAACGCCATTTCACGATGGCTGTTGATGCCAACCTCGCGGAGGATCGCTACACGGGGAGCGCGTCGGACCAAGCTGCCCAATGTACCGGTCAATGGCATAATGCTTTCGTTGGGTCTGAATTTCAATCGGAACGAGATTCCAGGATCCTCTGCATCAGCGATCGCATTGTATTCAGCTTCGGCAGTGACCGGGTTGTCGCGCTCCTTCTGCATAGCGTAGGATGTCCTTGACCACCATTGCTGCATTTTGATGCGATCCAGGCTGACAACAGGTCGAGCTCCGTAGCGGATGGTCAGTGACTGCTTAGCCGTAGGCGTAACAACTCCAAATTTCTTGATCAAGCCTGGAGGCGGGCCGCATGTGGCAAAGCAACGCTTGAAATTGGTCTCGTCGCTCTTACGGATCTGGAAGATAGCACCGAGCTCCTCAGTGAATAGAGAGTCAATCATGTCCTTGACCGATGCGGTCTTAGATAGGTCGTCCAAGGCCATGTCAACACCACAGTGGCCGGCGAACATCATCTCTGCCACGGTGGTGATCAGGCCACCATCGGATCGGTCATGGTAGGCGAGTACAACGCCGCTCCTGTGCAGTTGGGAAAGTGCGTCGAAATAGTCTGCGATGAGGTCTGGGCTCCGCACGTCCGGTCCAACGTTGCCTGTCTGCCCAAACGTCTGAGCCAAGGCCGAGGCCCCCAAGGTCTGCATGCCGTTGGCAAGGTCGACAAACATCAGCATAGTCTCGCCGACGTCTTCCAACCGTCTCAGTTGAGGGGTCCAAGTCCGCCGAACATCCTCGACGACGCCCACCGCAGTGATGACCACCGACATTGGTGCAGTGACACTCTTGTCCTCTCTAGTTTGCCGGTCCCTCCACGATGCTTTCATCGACGTAGAGTCCTTGCCGACCGGTATCGAAAGCTTGAGCCGTGGACAAAGCTCCATACCAATCGCCTTGACTGCCTCAAAAAGTCCGGCACCTTCTCCCGGATGGTTCACAGCTGCCATCCAGTTGGCGGACAACTTAATCCTCTCCATACCATCGAACAAATCGGCAGCCCCAAGGTTCAACAGACTTTCAACCACAGCCATTCGAGCAGATGCAGCTGGTGAGATGAGCGCCAAAGGTGGCTTCTCGCCCATGGCCATAGCCTCACCCGTGCGCTGCGCTGCGTCGATGCTGAACGAGGTGGCGGTCACAGCACAATCCGCTACAGGGACTTGCCAAGGGCCGACCATCTGGTCGCGTACACTCAATCCCCCAACCGTTCGGTCGCCGATCGTGATCAGGAAGGATTTCGAGCCCACAGAAGGTAGGTGAAACATGCGTTTGATACCTTCGGTAATTAGGGCGCCCTTCGAAGCCTCGGTACCACACACGTTCTGGAGACAGGCAACGGCATCGAAGTTTGGTAGTCCAAGGTCTCTGGATTCAACGACCCGCTCCAAACGGCGGCCTTTAGGGAAAAGGTCTGCCATAGAAAGGGAGATAGGATCCGGGCCGTTCTGATCATCCCGGTCTGTCAACCTCAAGCTGGGCTTCCCATCGGGGCCTTGAGCCACGACTACTCCTACGTCGGAATAGGGGCAACGTTCACGTCCTAGAATAAATTAGCGTTGGGTCGGACATCCGAGTTCATAGGACTCTTACGGCAGATGCTAGCAAAACGGTTCACGCTCTCCTGGTTGACAAGGAGAACATACCTCTCCTGCGATTCGTTGCACCAAACCTGCAACGGACTCATGCTGTTATCCGCAGTGTGGACTTGTCGAAGCTCAAATTTGCCACCAAAACCGGCATCATTGACGATTTCTGGCAGCGCATTTGACAGGCCACCGGCACCCACGTCATGTATCATGGCAATTGGGTTCTGGTCCCCGAGGGCTACACATGCGTCAATCACCATCTGCGCCCGCCGTTGCATTTCGGGGTTGCCACGCTGGACGCTGGCAAAATCAAGTTCCGCGGTTTCTTCGGCTGAAGCGTTGCTTGACGCAGCGCCGCCGCCGAGTCCGATGAGCATTCCTGGCCCACCTAACACGATGGCATGGGCCTCTTCGTGAACATCTTCAGGACGTTTGATAGCATGGTGAGGCCTGACTGTACCTAGCCCCCCTGCAATCATGATCGGTTTGTGGTATCCTCTCCATTCAGGATCATGCTGGCTTCCCACGTTCGTCAGCAGTGTTCGAAAGCATCCTAGAAGACAAGGTCGGCCGAATTCGTTGTTGAAACGAGCACTGCCAATAGGCGCTTCGAGCATGATGTCCAAGCTGCTTGCGAAGTGCGCCGGACGCCCAATGTCTACCTCCCAAGGCGCCTTCGCTTCTGGTATCAGCAGGTCGGACACCCAGAATCCACAGAGTCCAGCCTTGGGGCTAGACCCACGGCCCACAGCGCCTTCGTCGCGAATTTCACCGCCGGAGCCAGTTGCGGCCCCAGGAAATGGGGATATTGCCGTGGGGTGATTGTGAGTTTCGACCTTGATCAGTACGTGAACGACTTCCTTGGTGAGCTTCCACGTTCCCGTGGAGTAGTCTGGGGCCCAGAATGACGCCTTTTCTCCCTTCATGACCGCCGCGTTGTCGCTATAGGCTGACACGGTATTATCGGGGGTTTGATTGTGGGTATTACGGATCATTTGGAAGAGACTTTGGCCCATGCTCTTACCATCAATAGTCCAGTTGGCGTTGAACTGTTTGTGACGACAATGTTCCGAATTTACCTGTGCGAACATGAAGAGCTCAATGTCATGCGGCGGCCTTCCTTGCTGTTTGAATACCTCCACGAGGTATTGCATCTCAGATTCGTCCAATGCCAGGCCGCGCTTTTTGTTGTAATCGCGAAGGACGTCAAGAGGGCTTGAACTGGATGCAAAGATGTCCACGATCTCCAGGGGGTATCTCTGATGACGTTGAAACATCGATTTTGGGTCTGGCTGGCTCATTGTCATAGTTTCCGTCATGCGATCTGAAAGAAGGTCTTTGAACGAGATATCTCCAGCTCGATATGCGTCTTGGAAAGTGATGGTGATTGCCCGGCCCATCTCGATGCGTTCCACGTGGTCCTTGAGCCCACAGACGTGGGCTATGCTCGTACCCTTCGAGCTCCATGGCGAGATATTCCTAGGGACGATGTACCAAGTTTTTGTTGCCTCAGTGTTTTCCGGGATCGAAGCGGCATCGGTAGTGGGAAGCTCAAGCCAGTGTGCCAATTTCTGCTTGACAAGTTCCTCATTGGCGCGTTCCGTGACGTGAACAAAGTATACCCAACTGCCGCGGATGTCCGCGATTGGGGCCTCGGGGCTGGCTTTGTTGATACGGGTGCATAGTTCTTCGGCTTGTCGAGACGTGAAGGCTGTGCCTCCTACTAACATGAAGGTGTTCATGGTCCCCGCCATCGCTGTGTGCATACCAGCATGGGTCGAATCAGGTTCTTGTCCGCGTGGGGGAAACGGTGCTTTGTTGCCAATGTTGCGAATGGAGGAAAGGAAATGCTAAGCGCAAAGGAAATTCTCGGTGGTCACCCTTCCACGATGGTGGGGCATTGCAAAGTTCTGGAGGGGTGAGTTACAGAGATTTGTTGGAGGGGTGTCAGACCGGTCCCGACCCCCGCCAATGTGATCGCGCTCAAGCCAAGACAAAAGAATTAGTAAAAGACTGTTGGCTGGTCTGCCGGAGCAGACTAAGACTACAGATACTGAGATGGCGAATTGTGTAAACGATGAGCAAGTTCGATAACGCAGGACCGCAGGCTACAAGTGAGATTAGACTAGGAGCAACAGTGGAATACGAGGCGAGGCGGATTCCATGATTCGTCAAATTCAATCATCAGCATAGCTAGTAGTTTACCCCGCGGCCATGGACAATTAAGTACCTCGGTATTACCAGAAGGTACAGTTGAGCTGTGAGTTTCCTCTGGCCCGAGCGAGAGCCTTTATTAAGCCTCCGGCGCCTTGGTGAAGTGGTGCATACAGCATTTCCATTCCCCCCCGGCCCCTTGCCTCCACACACTTGAGCAGACCCCTTCAGTGGGTATCATTTGCCCGCCTTCCTGCTGACGCCAAACTGTAACCCTATACAATAGCGCTGCGCTCATCATATCGACCTCAACAAAGGCGGGTTCGCCGTGGATGCGGTACGCTGTCCAGGGCTCGTAGCTTTCAATATGCTCCATTGCCGTAGGCTTCGTCTCGCGCGAATAGATTTTGTTATCTGGCTCTGCCCACACCGCGTCGTCCGTCAGGTATTTCTTGACTGTCTTTGGCTTGTCACACATAGCCCTCCATAGCTGTGTTTGGGCTTCGAGGGTGTTTGTCTTATTGCGGTCGAATATCGAGCCTGGTCCAGACATGATGACTTTGTACGTTTGAATGAGATGTAGGAAACGGGTGACTTTTTTTTGGGTGTGATATCTCGTGGGAGTCGCGGAGTCGAAGAGCACAGGCGCGGCAATGGGATGGTCTACGATCAACTAGTACTTATACCAATTTTCGAGTCAGGAAACTGGGCAGCGTAATGTTTCGAGGAACCCCATTGCGTAAGTCAGTGAAGATGCGAGAGCAGGATCTTGGAATGCATCCCTGGCTGGCGCGACTGACGTCACACGACAGGTACCCTTAAACCACCTGCCACCACCACCCAATGAGATTCATTCCCAAGCTCTTGTTCCACTCACGCAAAGTCGGCGCACCCTCACCCAGTGTGTGAACTTTGAAGTGCTGCCTGTATGATGAGTAAGGTAACTACGTAGAGTGGTCGGTCTCATCAGCTTCGACGACTTCCCAAATCCCCAGGCCAGCAAGATAACCTGGAAGGTAAGGTGCCTACCTGATCGGCAATAGTGCTCCAAATTAGTAGTGATAAGATACAGTTAAGGTACACCTACTTTAGTAATTATAGAACCAGGGCGTCAGATTCCCTTGTTGTTTGGTTTTGTGAGAGTGACAAGCTGTCTGACCCAACCAAGGGTTTCTTTCTGCCCGACTTACTTCACCTGCCTACCCTATTGCTGAGTCGATTTAGTTATCATCATCAACCTTGCAACTTTTAGATTTAACCTGTCTCCCAGTGTTGGCCTGACTTTTGGTGCCTGCTCCGCAACAGCAAGATCTTTCGGGATTTTCCATTGACCGTTGACGTTATGCGCGTCAAATGCTTCTCGAGACACTCCGACCTAATGTTTTGTCGGCATTTTTGCACCTGGAACGCCACAACAACACACCATCATGGGTCAACGTCTGACGCAGCGCTGCTTCACCACCACTGTACTGTTCCTTTCGGTCATAACAGTGTGCCACGGTCAGTCGGACAACACAGCCAAGTCGAGGGAAGGCGAAGATCTAGCCAACAACATCCCAACATGCGAAGCCCGCACAATTAACCACATCACCCATACTCTACCACAACTGTGCTTCACCAGCACATGGGGCAGCAATTCAGCAACTGGCTTGGCTGTGAGCCCAACACCATTGCAGTCGCAACAGATTGCACGGAGCTACAGTGACAAGGTCAATGACAAAGAGCAAATCGTAGACAAACACCCAGCCGGCAACGCACCACAAGATGGCGAGACCACAAAAGCTCAAGCTAGCGAGGCCGCGACCGCCGAGGAAACACCTTTCATGTCTTTCGAGGACTGGAAGGCGATGATGCTGCGACGCACTGGTCAGGATCCGCAAGCCCTCCGACACCGCAAGATTGCAGCAGGAGAGGGTGGCAAGCGAGTTCCACCGAATTTGGGCCAATTTGACCTCGGAGACGAGGAGGAAATTTCTCTTGATTTCCAAGAGTACATCAATGAACCAAGGCGGGATCAGTACAGTGCCGATTTGTCTACAGGAGGTCATGCATCCCAAGACCAGGATCCAGTCCTCTCCGAAGGCGACCCAACCTGGCTGCACCGAAGCAAAGACGCAGGCAAAACATGCAAAGAGCGTTTCTCATATTCCTCATTTGACGCAGGCGCGACGGTTCTCAAGACTGGACGAAGCACGAGGAATGCCAAAGCTATCCTGATCGAAAACAAGGACACATACATGCTCTTGGAATGCGGGGTGGACAACAAGTTTGTCATCGTTGAGCTCAGCGATGACATTCTTATAGACACCATCGTCATCGCCAACTTCGAGTTCTTTTCAAGCATGATCAGGAGATTCCGGGTTAGCGTGAGCGATCGATATCCAGTCAAGATAGAGCGCTGGAGGACAGTTGGGGAGTTCGAAGCCCGCAACTCGCGCGATATACAAGCGTTCTTGGTCGAGCACCCGCAGATCTGGGCGAAGTATGTGCGTATCGAGTTTATTTCACACTATGGCAATGAGTATTACTGCCCCGTCTCACTGCTACGAATCCACGGTTCCCGTATGCTGGACTCCTGGAAAGACACCGAGACGGGTCGAGAAGACGACACACGAGAAGTTGGAGAGGATGCCCCTCTTCTCGATTCTAGCCAGAAGATTGAAGCCAATGGGGATGTCATTTCCTCAGCTCTCGCTGGTGAAGCCCATGCTGTTCCTGCCGAAGAGAGCGATCATCAACCGTGGACGCCCAGGCCAGCTTCATCTGTCTGCACTAAAGCTTCCCATACGAATATTCTGGTTGATCGGACCTGTCAGGCCGAGCACATGACCTCCTACCATAGCGAGAGAGAGACTGCCCTCTCCAGCCAGGAGGACTTTCATGCCAGCGATCATATTTCAACTGCTACAGAGCCTCCTAGGACGCAGATTGTCCACGAAGATGCAGCCCAAACGTCCACAAGTTCGTCAATTGCTGACCCCGGCGAAGCTCGAGCCCCGGGTAAGGCTGATAGGTCAGCGCAGGCAGATGCCCGCTCCAAGCCAACCTCGACAAGGTCAACAGACTTCGCTAAGGACGGGCCACCTCAGACGGCAAAGTCAACAAATGCAACGTCAGGGGCGGTCACAAGGCACCGATCATCGAACACGAATAGCGCAGCCACAGCGTCACCTACAGTGCAGGAGGGCTTTTTCAACGCCATCACTAAACGTCTACATAACGTGGAAGCCAATCTCACTCTATCGTTACAGTATCTCGAAGACCATTCGCGGTATGTCCAGGACTCGCTGAGTAAAATCGAATCCAAGCAACTGAAAAAAGTCGCCTCCTTCCTTGATAATCTTAACGGCACTGTTATGGCAGAACTCCGAGGAATGAGGGACCAGTACGATCAGATCTGGCAAAGCACCGTCATTGCTCTCGAAACGCAGCGTGACCAGGCGGATCGAGACGTGGTGGCCCTGAGTTCTCGTCTGAACCTACTCGCAGACGAGGTGGTGTTCCAGAAGAGGATGGCGATCGCGCAAGCTATCCTACTGCTTTGTTGCTTGTTCCTTGTGATTTTTTCAAGGGGCGTGCCAATCCCTTATCTTGCACCACTCCTCGATACCCATACGGATGTGCCTGTACATTCCGCAGCCGACCTTGATGTGAAGAACGTTTTCGTCGACTCCGTGTCTGGCCAACGGCCTGGGGCTTCCGACGGAGAAGATGAAACGAACATTTACAGGACAGGCGTCGAAACACTACTTCTCAACGACTCGGGCTCTCACATTGAGCTGCACACAAATAAAGGGAATACCGTGCCGGATCCTAGCTCCTTCGGCGGTGCTCTGGGCCCTAAACCGCCACCTCTCATGGACCTTGATATGGACGATGGCAGCTTGAAGGTGGTGAACTCAACTTCTATTGCCGCAGATAAACACAGCCTCAATACTTCAAGGCGCTCAACTCTCGCACAACATGTACAAGCCCGGAAGCCCCTGCCAGCCCTGCCCGAACACCCCCAACCCGATGAGGATCCAGATTACGAAGCGTGGACTTGAACTGAATCAGGGGCTACACACTTGATGTCATTTCGGACTTGCAATTTAACGAGCCATACCATTTAAAATTGATATCTTTACTAACGTTCCTTGCCAGATGTCCCGGGCTATTCGGTGAATGAATGCTTGGTGTCGCGTAGAAACAACTACGTAGCAAGTACCGATGAAGCCGGTGAAGCAGATTGATAGAAATTCCCCGAATTCAAACTCCAAGTACAAACACTATGCAGTTGAAAGCTACGGTTTCAAGAGCCACGCCTGCAGACAGCGAGATGCTCAGGGTGGTAGAGATGGTGGATGGTTGTATCGTAATCGTACTCCTCGAGGGCAGCAAGACGGGTGCCTCGGTCAAATTGTGACCGCCTTCGCCTCTGCTCATCTCGGAAGTGCTGCCCAGCGTTTGGAGTGAATAGACCTGTGAAGGGAGATGGGTCAGCCGAGTCCCGACGGACAAGCCGAGGCCCTTACCAACGTGTTCAGCGTTCTCGCAGCTTCGTTTCATTTTCGATTGATTGTCTGGCTCTGGAAAAGGCTCCTCACGTCCTGCCAGCTCTGGCATAGGTCCATTGGAGGTGAAGTACAACTGATGCTGGTCAGTATTCGTTGCGCTCCATTTGGGACGTCCACGGCGCCTCCCACCTTCGGTCGATAGTGTGCCGCCTCGAGCATGACAGAGCTGTTGCGGAACTTCTGAACAAGACAGTCTTTTCCTTGAATGGCTTCCATGGGTTAATTGAGGTCTGAGGCATTCGTTGGGCACATACTGGCATATGAGACTTCGGCGACCTTGTCACTTTTGAAACAATTCCTGGACAGTCAGTGATACCCAAAGACCCAATGATGCAGCCACGGTCTGATTCTCACCATCGTTGGTTTCCACGGGCATCTACAAACTGCGACTGAGTCAGCATACGCTCAGAAGTCCTTGGCGTCCGCTATAGCGAACTCACATCTACAATATCAAGAGGCTTCGATGTTGTCAGCAATTTGCATGGTTAGCAAGTCGAACTGACTCACATCTACGAAGTTGACAAAGGCGTATCCAACACTAAAATACAGTCAGTTTCCACCCTAATGTATGAAGTTATTTGATCAACACATACTTGCAATCATTGGCGAAATCGATCCGCAAATACATGAAATCATATTTGCCCCAGCTGGACTCGTCCACGATCCGCTTCAGCATGGCCTGGTCAACTTTATTGGGTATGTTTCGTAGCATTATCTGGCCAAATTGAGTAATTGTCAGGAAAGGGGTACTATATCAATCTCACCGTTGTGCGAACATCCATACCATCCCGAATGTGCTGTATTTCCACATGATTATGATGGCCGATTCCATTGCGGTGGGGTGATCTACTCAAACGTTGGATGCTGTATTTGTGAACGTCTGGTCGCATAGGCCTCTGGCCCGAGCGCGACGGACTATGATGAGTGTTCGAGGTAGGGGCTGGTGAAGGGGGTGTCTGATATATTGTGCCAATAACAGAATATCGTGGCGTGATAGGCGCAGTCGGACTGTTCTGGCCCATGGTCGAAACGCCGTCCAGGGTGTACAGAATCGACGGCGAGTATTGGGGCTGTAACAACGGTGGACATATGGCGGCAGTGTGTTGATAGTCCGTAGCGGGTACTTGGTGCGTTTCATGAGGAACAACGTCCATTGGCATGTCAGCCATGGTAGTGCCGCTCGGAGAAGCATTGGCAGGCACATCGTGAAGGATGCCTATCATTCCTCCAGCCGGCAGATTAGATCCCTCATACGGAGTCGTTGTTATGTGTATACCCTGGACGTGTTATTCACCGGCACTCGCACGCTGTGTAAGCAATTGATAGTGCTTACCTCGTTGATAGCGACTCCGCCGTGGTCGCCAAGAGCACAAATACTGGCTGTCACGCTGCAGAACTCCGCCACTGCGCGGAAGGAACCATCTTGAATTCTCGAGAAATGCACAAAGGCGAATAGCTGCCCATATCCTTGCAAATATGACTTTACAATCTCAATAGAGGTTTGTGGAGGGATATTGGCATTCGTAGGCACAGCCGCTAATATTGCGACCTGTCCACGAAGCATAAAGTCTTGGCTCGGGCCTGGAGATTCGTCCTGTGGTGTATTCGTTAGTATTGACTTGAAACTAGGCAACTTGGACCTGACCGACCCCAGGCATTTTCTCGGGACTTATGAATCTCACTGTCCAACTGTTACGACCCAGACGGGCACTGGCATGTACGGAGCACGCATCGCGAATGTCCTCGAACTGAATAAGCACGTGACCAGGGGAAGATGCGATGTACTTTTCATTGAAGCTGACAATGCCGTGTTGGTCAAGCTCCTAGAGTATAGTTAGCTTGAGCTCGTGTGGATAAACTTGTCTACATGCCGTAAGCCAGCCTTCGACGTCGGGGACCGAAACGCCCTGCGCATGAGAGATGCTCAGGAACCTGGACAAGCCGAGATCTGTACTCAGTCTAGCGGCAATGGGATTTCCGATGGGGTAATGAACCCTCTTGTTGCCTCTCAGGATAGGTTCAAAAGCCGAAGCAGTGGGGGAGAGCCTCTTGCTGCGGCCAGAAGTGGTGAACGGATCTCTCTCCAACGTGGAGATGTTTCCTCGATACGCATCCCCGTAGCATTGCGTTGCCGATGTTGGCGTTGCAGATCCAGGATGTTCTTCAATCTTCTCTTGGTTTGAAGAAGTGGCAGATCCCATGGAAAATGTGCCTCCGTATGGTTCAAATTCTGATGTCAAGCGAAATGACGGCGACGAAGTGGATTCAATAAAGGAAGGAGGAGGCATGTTCGAAACTTGAGCTGTTGGTGTTCAGTAGAATGATATTGTCGCGCGACTGGGAGGTGAATTGGGGATTGATCCACGAGAGGCGACTGCGGGTTTTGGGTTGCCAGGTACGTGCAAGATACCTCGAGGAGAAGCACTCAGAAGAGAAGTGATGAAACGGTTCACAGAACAAACTAAAAGCCTCTGTGTGCACAGACGCAGGCGGACCTGCACACCGGAGAGAAAGCTCTTATGCATGGAGAGAATGGCTGAATTTGTTAAAAAGGAAGGAAGCAAGCACGTCTTGAAAATCAATGGTTGGTCCTTTGCTTCCAGAGGCACAGAGTCGGAAGGAGCGCCTCAGTCCGCTGTGGAGTTATCTCCTTGTAATAACACAAGCCAGGAACTAAACGAAAGCGTACTAAGAGAGGGGGGACTTCAAACAGGTACCGCTGAGGCCAGGGAGTGTTAGGGTGAGCTGCAAGTGAAGCAATGGGGAAAGACGACTATACTTACCAGGTACACAACACGACAGAGCGTTGGTGGCTGCCACTGCCTTAAGATAAGTACTTCAGGTGGAAAGCGGGCAACCCCATGCCTAGTACTACTTTCAGTACCTCGGGCTAGAATCGAGCCTGCAGGTGCAGACAGCTCCATCTGATCGCAACTGCAGATACCTTGCCATAGTACTTCATTATGCCTTCACTCGGGCGAACACAGACACTTCGCCACCCATGGTGTTTCGGTCATCTGCACTCGAAGCTTCAAGCCAGTTCACATTAACTGACGTTACGGGCTCGATTCTGAAAAGTCGTCTGCGTTTGTTCCAAAGTGAGCTCAAAACACTCAATACCCGTGTTTGCCCACATTAGTGAATGAAAGGCCTTCACAGAGCAGGATGAGCGGTAATAGAGTCGCAACAACTGAGAGGGACTGAGCAGCTGATGCACAACTCAGCATGTGTCAAGGAATGAACACAGGACAGAGCTGACGTAAAAATCCCGGTATTCAGTAGTACACAGTACAGTAACAAGTGTAATGTCAGGATAAAGTACCCTACCAAAAGATGTACTCCGTAGTCACTACGTTGATAAAATCTCTTAGTCAGCGCGAACCCAATGAATTTATGTATAAGCCAATCAATTAGCAGCGTACAGTAATAGACAGCCTCATGGCCATAGCCGCACATTGGTAGGCAGCTTCATCGCCGTACCCATGAGCAGCACATAGGCAGCCTCATCGCCGCACATACTGCACACGTAGGCAGTCTTGGCGGCATACGCGTATCAAGTTGGCACACAAAGTTATTATGGGGCTGCGCTTACTAAGAAATTCTATTTGCGCGGCGCGCATCTGTTAGGACCCTGGGGATGCAGCGGGGGGTATTTAGGCCGTAAACATCGATCCAAGAATGACTTAGCGTCTAACCACGTTGCCTTGCTCTGGCTGCGTGCGTATCCGTGCCTGCTGCTTCAACTGATACCACGCCATATTCGCATCTTTTGCTCTGATCCCTACTCCAAATAACATCTGGCGAGCCTCTCGAGTCGCAGATCGAATTTGGAAACGTGCTGCCAGAACTTTCTCGGGTCGATTGTACTCGTTGGGCAGTTTGCGACCGATGCTGAGGACGTGGAGCGCCTGAATGCCATGCCGCGACGCCAGTTCAACGTGGATGACTATCATGCAGCCGTGTCGCAGGCAAGTAATACCGCTGCACTATACTGATTCAAGAACTTGAAACTGACACCAACCACACGGACAGGTCATTTTGTCATCGTCCGACCATGAGTTCTTCGACCAATTGATCCCTACTCTGAAGGAGGCTACAACGTCGAACCGTACGACCTCGCTGGTCAGTAGCTTTAGTCGTTATGCCGATGACCGCGAAGCCGATATCGAAAGGATTGGATCAACCAAACATGAAGAATTTCTGGACTCTGTCACGCGACTGCAACATGTGCGAGAAGAAACAGTGAGCCTAACGGGCGAAATTCTGCAACTCAACCAATCCATTCAAGCAAGTACAGAGAAGCTTGCGGAGCAGAAGAGCGCCCTTGTCAATACGAAAGCGATCAGACAGAACGTTGCCGATGCCTCGAGTGCATTGGGCGACTCTTTGAGAATACTTCATGCAGTCAATCATGCTCACGATCTTGTCAGGCGTAGGAAATATTATTTGGCACTGAAGTCCCTCGAAGACTTGCAGAATGAGCACCTTGTGCCGATCCTACAAAATCGTTACGCGACCCAGCACCGACTGGCAAGTCTCATTCAGAAGTCGATACCAGCATCTCAAAAGTCTATTTCAGAAGCAGTCATGAATGACTTGAACACTTGGCTATATCATGTTCGAGAAACATCGCAATTCCTCGGCGAAGTAGCTTTTTACCATACCGAAATGCGCCGGACTCGACAGAAGAAACGTATCGAGGAGGATCCTTTCTTGGGGAAATTCAAGCTGAATTCTGCCATCGAGTTAGTTTGCGATGAAAGTGAGGAATTTGACGTCTTGAGCAACGAAGAGCTCCAAGTCGATTTCACACCCTTATTTGAAGCTCTACATATCCATGAAGCCCTCGGTCAACCCGACAAATTTCGGATTGAGTACTCCGCCACTCGTCGACAGCAAAAGGACCTCTTGATGCCGAGCACTGTGACTTTGCTGGCCGAGGATGAGTCCTCGCTCAGCAGCCTTCTCGAAGGCATTGCCGGCTTCGCCATTGTCGAGAAAGCGACGACTTTTCGCATACCTCAGTTGAGATCTCTGGCGGAGGTGAGAATTGAAGACTCCGACTCATCGTGATTGTAATTGACACACTCTAGGTTGAGGAGTTGTGGGAGTCTATGTGCACTACTGCGGTGAACCTTACTGCGAAAGCGCTTTACGATGTCAACAATGCCGAAGTGCTTCTCAAAATAAAGACATTCATAATCATGTTCATACAGACTATGGAGGTGAGACAGGTTCCAGGCGTGAAATCTTTTCATTGCTGACCGTGCTTCGAGGGCTGGGGCTATTCTGTGTCTACTCTGGATGCATTTCTGCTCAAGCTGTTCGACAAATACGCGGAGTTGCTGAAGCGCAGATTTAGCGACGATTTTCAGGAAGTGAGTTGCAATGGGTGCCGGTGACTGTCACCACAGTACTGATACGGTCATAGATTGTTTTCACTGATGATTACATGCCCATGGCTATCAACACGAAGGAGGAATACGAGAAAGTTGTTAACGTTAGCTGGTACTCACCGGACAAGTCGACGGATGAATTGACGTAAGTACTATCACCGAGCTTGTGTTGTGCTTCCACTGATCGGGGGCAGCTTTCCTTGCGTCCTCCCCTTCTCGCAAATGTACCCGCTTTGCTGCATTGACATCAGGAATTTCCTCAACCAATTCTACTTCTTCTCGGACGACCATTTCCAGCATCCCGATGTGATTGACGAGACCTTGAAGCGAGTACGTTGGCCCCCCCTTATAAGACCGATTCCCATTGACGTTTCGGCAGTCACTCGATGAATTGTTGACCGAAAAGGTCTGTCAATCATTGGTAGACCGATTGAGCTCGCATTACCTCGGCCAAATCGTTCAAATCCTCATCAATTTGGAACACTTTGAGAAGGCTTGCTATGATCTTGAGCAACTACTGATTGAAGCGAGGTCCTCCACTTCAGCTGGCGGACCCCTTAAACTCAATGCGACCGCGCAGTTTCGTAACAACAAGAAGACTGCCGAGAAAAGGATCTTTGAGGTCGTGAATTCCAAGATCGACGATCTCGTTGACACGGCTGAATATGATTGGTAAGTGAAGTAGGGGTTGAATTGTGGAATGCTAACTCACACTCCATCTTCAGGACTCCTAGTGCTGTTGTTGCGGAACCAAGTAATTACATGCATACCTTGACACACTACCTTTCCAATATCATGAACTCGACATTGTTGGGGCTTCCCACGGAGATCAAGGAGCTGATCTATTTCGATGCTTTGAGTCACGCGGCTGACAAGATACTTGTAAGGCGGTTGTTAAATTTGTGAGCAGCGTTGACTCAAGCAAACAGGCTCTTCCGCTGTCCCCAGACGTAAAGCATATCAATCCTCATGGCATTGCAGCTTTAGCCCAGGACGTGCTGTACCTGACGGAATTTGTGGACAGTCTCAATAATGGGCAAATGCTTCGCCAAAATTTGGACGAACTCCAACAAACTGTTGCACTACTGCAATCCGAAAATCACGACGAATTCTTCGACATTTCGACAAGGAACAAGAAATATGGACGGGTAGATGCAATTAACGGCCCTCTGCTGCTCGAGAAGTGCGTATTCTCTTTGTTCAGCTGCTGCGCGGATACTGACAAGATGCTTCATAGGCTCGTACCTGTCACACAAAATTCTACGAAGAGCGCGCCACTTGTGAACTTCTCATCGCGCTTCGGAATGATGAAGTAGATGTTGAAAAACTCGCGCAGGAGGAGTGAGATTCACTGAGCGACGAAGTAATTGCGAACATTTCCGTGAATCATATTGCATTGACCATCCCGCTCCGTCCAAGTGTTCTGTAATAAGTGACCTGCTTTCGATTTGTCCACAACACACGTCATTAACCTTGTGACCTATTCGAAGTCCTCGGATGACATGGGGGCCTGGAGAGTTGTCAGGATCCGTCATTAGCCGGCAATGTGGCGGTGAGTTTACCTGTTGAGGCTGCATGCCAGGGTACGGATACATGCCCTCTATCTCTCCATACATTTGCGGTTGTGCCTGTCCATAGGAGGGCGCAGGGCCGGGTGGCACCTGGCCACTGTACATGCCAGCATTCTGGCGATACTCTTGTTCCGGCGCCATCGAGTGAGTTCCCATGTAATCGCCTGGTCCGAGGGAATGGCCAGGTGGGCCTGGTGGCATAGTTCCATGCTGTCCAGGTATCGGAGGTTGCCCGGCAGTGGCCATTGCTTGCGGAGGAGCTGCAGGTTGCGCGTTGGCTCTTTTGGCATGGGACGCCGCCTCTTCCCTTGGAACTATGTCGATCAGGAAATCGAACATGTCAGATTTGGCAAGCGCCGAGGCAATGTCAGACCTTTGCAGTGTTCGTCGCTTGTTTTCCTCGGCATGTATCCAGGCGCGCATAGTTAGCTCAGTAATGAAAATGTCACAGCCCTTGGCGAATAAGATTGGTGCCTCTGCGGAAATCATCTTGACCTCTGGATCCGCCTTCATGACCTTTTTGATACGAGCCAAAGGCAACTGGTGAATCTTGAACTCGTGCTTCTCTTGCTCCAGATGGCTGATGGTTTGTTGCCAGTATGTGGTGAGAATGTCCTTATACTGTCCTGTAAGACCTTGGTGGACCTGCAAACGCGTTAACAGGGCTCATCTGGTGACAGCTGTGTGGAAGACCGCACGTTCGCCCACGGTCCAGTGTACAGCTCCGCTGGAGCAAAACCTTGTGATGCGAGCTATAGGAACCATCAGCATGCTCTCCCACTTCAAAAGACCTGACACTTTGACTGACCGTAGCACAAGCGCCTAGATTCCGCGTACCCACCGTCAGTCTCGCCTTCATTGACGATGAGCGGAAGGGTCATGATAGCCTACCGTAATGACCACCTTGAGTTGTATCATATACTGGGGCCGTAGCCCGCTGCTGTGTGTGCGCAGCGCTCGCTGCCTGAGAATCCATGGTTGTGGTGTTGATGATTACGTGGTTGTAAGCGCGATCCTGTATCGGGATGGCATTGGTTCATTGGGTACTGACCAAAAGCACACCGAGCCTAACATCACCAAGTGGATGTGGGCTGGGCTTGTGGCTGGCCCGACTGAAGGATGCAGCCACTGTGGCTGGAGAAATGGGTGGGACAACCACAGATTACTAAGCTACTGATCTCCCCAAACACTAAAAGTATCCACCTGACACTCAAAAAAACTGTCTTTGCAGCCTGAGCATCGAAACCTTTTGGCCTTCAACTGTTTCCTCGCGAACATGACAAGCCTCGCCGATATCGATCTCGATGGCTTGCTTCGTAAAGCTGAGGCACGGTTCTCGACAACCAGCGATGGCCAGCAAACCGACAACAAGCTTCCTTTGTCCGGGAGCTTGACATCTGTTCTGAGTCGTAGCCAGACCCCTCACGAGGCCCCTCGCGAAGCCTTGTCAGTGCGCCAGATCCAGCCCACGAAAACTCCAAACGAGGTAAGCCCCATCCCGACGACGCAATGCGCATCTTCATGATGAGAAGGAACCGCTTCGCGGCCTTGTGACCCGAGAGACATTCCGTTTTGGACATGTTCCCGGGACCATATGATCCCTATTTTTTCATAGTTACTCTGACCTGTCCAATCACACACTAGCCATGGGAAACAAAGCCTCATGAGTATTTGCTGATTTAGACCAGGATACCGCCGGGAAAAATTGGTTCCATCTCCCCAAGGCCGACGCGACTTCCGAGCTGAAGAGAGACTGGCAAATCCTCCGTATGCGCAATGTCTTGGATCCTAAGCAGCAAAGAAAGGCCTTACGGCCTGAAATTCCCAAGTACGCTCAAGTTGGGGAAATTGTTGCTGGACCGACGGACTTCTACAGCGCAAGAATGACACGCAAGGAGCGGAAGCGCAACTTGCTTCAGGAAGCACTAGACTCTCGAGACGAGTCAAAGATGCGTCACAAGTACGCCAATATTCAGCAAGAAAAGACCAGTGGAAAGAAAGGCTCTTACCGGAAGTTCGTGTCCCACCGGAAGAAGTTCAAGGGATGAAGAACTTGCCGACACGCAGATCATCCCTGGACTCTACAGAAACGCCCGGGCACGTCAGTTTGGCTATGACCCATCGCTTGGAGTCACTCGATGCTCGTCATAACGTCGAGCTTATGAGACAGGTTCAGCAACGCTGTACTAGGTACGGTACGGCGACGCGACTTGACAAACACCAAACCACTAGCGTCGGGGCCTGATCAGTGCCGTCTGATTTGGCTCCAAACAAGAGGTGCGCATGTTGTTCAATTGCGCCCCAACCGTTGGCAATGCGCAGCATGGGATGGCTTGGTATCTTATGTGGGCTATTTGGGTCACTTGGTCCTCCGCCAAACTTGGGTTATGGTGCAATTTGGAGCTCACTGACTCATTGACTCTATTCTGAGTTGGTGAACCTCACTGAATTTGCGAGATACTGTTGCACCATAGCATCACAGACCTGGCGGAGATGAAGAAATTCGTAGGTCGGCTTGAAGTGGTAGAGACAAATCGACGACGGAGGTGCTTATCTTTGATGTCCTGTAATGATGCCTGAAAAATGCTTGACTGTTCTCTCTTAATATCAACACCACGTTTGCCGCCTTATTTACTAATACTTACTACAGTAGATTCCTGAGTGATTAAGTACTAATTAGCAACAAAAACGAATACGGAGCGTGAGTTCAAACGGTTCATCTCCTGAGTACTACCAACCTCAGTCATGCTGCATTGCTATTTGTATGCATATAAGCGGGCTTACTTGATTGGTCCTGTGGATATGCGCCAAGGGTTGCTATGACTGTCCGGAGATGGAGAATTTCAGATTGTCGCGAAGCCTTCGCGTCAAAGTTGTCACCACCACAATGCCTCTCTCGTTGACACGCAGGGCTGCTTTGCGCGAGGTGAGCTTTGTGGCTCGGCAAAGGGCATACCCCGATTGTTCTCAGCAGCCGAGGCTGGCTCTTGCAGGCAGCAGACGATCCAAAGCGTCACTGTAAGTGTTTCAAGAGCAGCGCAGATTCCTCGCTATTTTGCGCGACAGCGTCTAGGCTCCTACACATATACTGACAATGTATAGATCAGGAGCGGCTGACCGCAAGCCAATTCTATCGACTCAAGCGACATCCGAATCTGAAAATCTGCGGCATCCACGATCCGTGCAAGCGCTACACTTGAAGCCCTTGAAGCGGGAGGCTGAGCACGGTATCCCCTCTTGCGACTTGCAGTTGCGCTCATACAGCCTACAACCTCTCGAATTTTTTTGCGACTTCGCTTTACGCGCTGCGTATTACCTTGGCTTGCCAGCATACGGCCCGGTCCCGCTGCCCCGAATTACCCAGAGGTGGACTGTTCCCCGAAGTCATTTCATTTTCAAAAAGTCGCAAGAGAACTTTGAACGTATCACACTAAGACGCTTGATACAAATCAAGGACGGCAATCCAGAGACGGTTCAGCTATGGCTTGCATATCTGCGGAAACACCAGTACTATGGTATTGGAATGAAGGCGAACATGTGGGAATTCAGCGACTTAGGAGGGCAATCGTTGATGGAGAAGAACTCTACGCAGTACGAGACTGACATCAATGCGGCATGGCCTCACCTCGGGCAGGTCAAACCTATTGAATCGGGACTGGAAGCGGACAAGGTCCTTAATCACCGCCTGTCTTCGGAGGCAAGCGGGCCTCGTTGACCAGTCGGTACTGAAGTGCCTCAAGAATTTGGATCCAGTCCGAATGCTTGACGTTCAAGACTAACGGGCTACCAAATTACGTGTAAGATTGATTGTTCGAGGACAGCTATAGGTTTCAGGACTGTCTACCAAATTCCATTCACAGCAGATTCTTAATGTGCCTTATAACACAAGAACGCAAGAGCTTTACTGGGTCCCGAGGTCTCTGAAGTGTTTTCCTGTTTTCTGCGGACGTGAGATTACCTCCGAGCGCGCCTCGGTAGATGCATACTGAGTAGGACTCCATCTTGCGAATCGCGGCTGGAGGCAGTCATTCAGGCCCAGCGATTGTGGAACATCAAGCGACTCGACCCGACGCGCCCTCACTTCCATTTCCAACCAGTTTTGTTCTTTTCCAGCACTAGAACCAAAGGGAAGAGGAGTCCAGTCTGCGAGGCAAGACAGCTGACCAGGTGCCATGGCGGGCCTGACAGGACTACGAAGCCGTGCTGCTGCCTCGAAAGTCATATTTTCTGGTATCCAACCAACTGGCGTACCGCATTTGGGCAATTACGCGGGAGCCCTGCGCCAGTGGGTATCTTTGCAAAATGAGGAACCAGTCACCACCAGTCTCATTTATTCAGTTGTTGATCTCCATGCCATCACCACGGCACAACCTCGAGAAAGTTTGAAACAATGGAGAACAGAGGCACTGGCGTCATTGCTGGCTCTAGGCCTGGACCCTGACCGGTGCACTATCTTCTATCAGTCCTCTGTTAGTCGACCACTGAACGTGTCCAATCCAGACCTTTATGGTACTAATTGGTCATTCAGGTACCTGCACATGCAGAGCTCATGTGGATCCTCAGCTGTACAGCATCTGTCGGGTACCTATCACGCATGACCCAATGGAAGGTATGGTTGCTTGATGTCGATGTTGGCTATTCGCCGACACTAGATGAACATGAATCTGCCCTTCCACGACCCCTTACACCACGAAACTCCTATCCCACTTCTCCAGCATTGCAAGTATACTAAGGCTGCTGTGTATAGTCGAAGCTCAATCTAGCAGAGTCCTCGAGCATCGAGGAAAAGAAAGTTGGCGGCCAGCTCAAACTGGGTCTCTTCTCGTACCCCGTCCTGCAGGCAGCTGATATACTGGTCCATCGGTATGAGTTGTGGTGTTGTGGGAAAGTACCTGGCTAATGGTTCCACAGAGCAACACATGTGCCGGTTGGGCAAGACCAACAACAACATCTTGAATTTGCCCGCGAATGCGTAACAAATTTCAACCATGCCTATGGCAAACATCTTGTGGCGCCAGTTACCCTTTGTGGTAAGTGGAAAAGATGAGTTAACTTTACACTGTCTTGGAAACTGACTCGATCGAGCTCCAATCTCACGTGTCATGTCCCTCACTGACCCGACCGCGAAAATGTCCAAGTCGCACAAGGCTGAGCGATCTCGTATCCTCTTGACCGATGGGCCGGACCAGATCCGTAACAAGATCGCCTCCGCACTTACGGACTCGCAAGCAGGAATTGCGTACGATCCTGCCAACAGACCAGGGATCTCTAACCTCCTGGACATATTGTCTATCTTCGACATCAGAACGAGGTCTTCATCCGAGCTCGCCTCAGACTACTCCGACCTTTCTGCCAGACAGCTGAAGAACATGGTTTCAGATGTTGTCATAACTGGGCTGGCTGGCTTTCGCCAGCGATATCAGGAATTGCTAGGCTCGCGCCGTGATTTTCTGGATAAGGTAGAAGCTGATGGAGCAGTTAAAGCCAGGCGGAGTGCTGCGGAAACGATGAGCAAGGTCAGGGAAGCCATAGGTCTTGCTGGTGAATCCTAAGTCGACGCACCGAGACTCTGCTGCCAGAGAATTGTGCGAAAGCAGGCATGGCGCGGGATAGTTCCAGATTCCCGAACGGAAGCGATGAAAGTAGATTAAGAGGCATACGCAAAGCTGGACCCTCGGGCTGCGAGCCAGAAATCACGGGCAACTTGCGTCGTCGTCCGAGAGCCGCGTAGGCTGGGATGTTTGATTAGACATGTATAATACCACAATGAGTGGGGGGCGTTCTTACCTCACGAGTTTCTTGACAAATATGGTTTTCTCACGTGGATTGAGCCGAGAGCCGGGGAAGGACACCTGCTCCAGGGCTGACTCGAGCCAGCCTGGCGCGGCCGGATACCAAGTAATGAGCTTCTTGAGCGGCTCGCTTAGCTTGTCTAGCTCGCTCCGCGAAGCGTTGCCGCCAAAGTTCCTCATCAAACTCTCGCTGACCAGTGGACCAAGTGTTTTCATTAGTTCGATGACCCGGTGCTGAACTGGGGGAGGGTTGCCCGCTAGCTGCAGGAAATGTGCCTTCAAGGAGCATTGGTCAGTCGACAAATACCCCGGCCAGACAACGATCGACGTACCCAAAATCCGGCCGATGCCATCTTCGGAAGTGGTTCTTTCCCATCTAGAGCCTGCAGAGTGAAGAGGAAGAAGAACTCAGACGGATCAAGCGGATGAGCGTCGAGTAAGACTTGAGGGGCTTCGCTCAACACCCGCGTGATAAAGTCGATTGCATTGTGCGATAATTCCGGGTCGGTTTCTGGACCTGCAACGCATGTCAGTAAGGGGCACTCACCCAAGTGTCGTCCTGCACATGGGTCGTACCTGGCAGGCCACGGAGCAGCCCGATGGCCCAGGTGAACAAATCCGCGAGCAAATTGTCTCGCATAGAGCCTTCGCCATACTGCTTCAAAGAACTCGTAAAAGAGCAAGCCGTCTTGACAAGCGCGCCTATTCGGGGCGAGTGTGTAGTGTGCGAAAACAGGTATTCTGCAATTTGTCTTGGTGGGAAGACAAAGGGGCCGTGCTCGGTTTCCGAGAAACCACTTCGAAGAATGCTGCAGATGTTGTCAACAACCTCAACACTCAGCGGGAAAGCCCTTTGCGGCTGAACGATTATGTCGAAAATGTGCCTCTGGAGGTTTGCGAGTTGAGGACTCTTCTCCTGCTCAAGTCTGGAGTGAGCATCGATCTCTACTGGCATTTCAGCCGGAATCTGGAAAGCCTTGGCCACAGAAGAGAGACACCTGAGAACTCTGATACCAATATGCAGAGCTGGAGATTCACCGCAAGACTCGTCGAGGCATCGGGACTCTGGCGGACAGGTGAGGCGACCCGCGGCATTTGACGACGCAATCAGCGTCTGGCAGGTCTGTAGGTCGATCTCAACGAACCCAACGATTTTGCGGAGAGCTTGAAGGCGTTCAGACTCGATTTCCAAGGCTTGGGCAACGGACGCGATGCCCCCGAGAACCTTCTCTGCAACCTCGCACTCCATTGTCTGGCTTGCGTTCATGCGCTGATATTCTTCAAGGAACGCACCCGTCTCGGAGTGAAGATGATGTCGGCACGACGAGCAGAGCCGAAGTATAGACCTTGAAACGGGCTGCGAAAGCATCGTATCGCCGACCAAGCTAAATAAAAGGTTCAATGCTGGCGGTAGAAGTTCGGTGTGGCGCTCGAAGAACTCGGTATACTTCTCAATCAGGCCAACACATGTTTGACGAACACGCGGGGGCAGTAGGGCGTGGCCGCCACGAAGCGTGTTGAACAATGGTGAGGAGAAGACAGAACTCAGAGCTTCGTCACTTTGCAGTTCTTCCTTAGCACAATCCGCTAGGGATCCGAGACAGAATGCTGCAGCCTCCAAACGTGCCCAGTCCTCAGCCGAGACCGCAGAAATGAGAAGGTCAGCAAAGGTGACCAACAATCGCGACCCAGTCAGGGCGTAGGTAGATTGTAGGAGATCAGCAACATCCTTTCGAACGTCTATGAACCCAATGCGGTCGCTGTTGTCCCATTGGCTCAGCTCAGTGGCATCAGGATATATGATCCGCTGCCACGCGTTTGAAACAGCTTCCAGCACGAAAGACGTGGCAGTCGATGCCCAAGGAATGGCGCCTTCCGCGTTAGAGAAAACCTCGTCCGTCAATGTCTCGATGTATGTCGACCAGAATTCCACTGCAGGAACGAAGATTCTGTCTTCAACAACAGGGTGACCATCCAAGGACAGTAGCCCACAAAGTTTACCGAGCAGGGCTTGATCCTGGTGGCTCTCGCTTCGCATCAGGATTTCGACCCGAGCCTCACCATATGCGAGCATGAGCTGACCGAATTGTACTGCATCAAATTCAAAGTCACCCTGTTGGAGTCTCCGATAATAATTCCGACACCACGCTTTTTCGAGAGTGTCGGCGAGCAAGGTGTAGTGTTCGCTGGTCAGAAGCGATGGAAAATTGGATAAAATGTCGGTGAGAAGTTCCACTGCTGGTTGAAACACATCGTTAGTCGATAATCCAGCTATTACTGCAGCAATGAGAGGCCGAAGCGAATCTATGAAGAGTGAGTCTCTCGCAGCTAGTTTCTGCGAGAACCACACCCAAGACTATGAAGAGAGGTTAGTCACCACAACGGGGCGAGGAACACTAAGCTGAACGACTCACTTGGAGACATCTGATGGCTTCCTCATCGGCTTTTGGATCAGGTTTAACATATTCCAAGCTCTTCCAAATAACAGCAGTAGATTCAGCGACATTGAGACGCAACGTTTCATACAGTTCGCTGCTGGAGCAAGAATCAGTAGGAGCTCTTGTGATTCGGGAGTCTTCTTACTTATGCGCCGAGTGAAAATCAACCTTAGCCGCATCATCCACGACGTTGCTGATGACCCAGAGGACCGCTCGACTTCGGACGGGATCCAGACACTCTAGATGCTCGGGGAACCCTGACGGGAAGACCTCTGGATCGACCAATTGGCCCGCGGCCATACACTGCACAAGATGTGGCACAAATCGCCTCCAAAGGTGTGGAAAGTGTATCAAGTAGGTAGCTAGTGCGGATGACAGCTTTCGTGACACGAGTACAGAGCCGCCGTGGGCTACGGAGGCCATGTACCAACCCAACAGACCTGTCAGAAGCTCGCTCGCATCGTGATCGCCTAATTTTGAGCTGTGTATTTGGATTAGTCTAACTTGTTGCGACAGGTTCTGGGCTACACTTTGATGCACATCATACCTTTCCGTGTTCAGTTTGACAATGATGATCAGGGCCCCGTGAAACCTGACTTTTTCGTCCGGCCGTGTGAGAAGATCACGAGCAATTGCCCATGAATGGGAAGAGCATTGTATCTCTGTCAATTTTCTCTGTGTTGCCGCTATCACATCTGGCGGATTCGGTCGATAGAGAGTGTGTATGAGCTATCAGCCTTGTTTAGTGTGATGAAGGACAATGCAATGTATGAAAGGCAGGCTTCACGTACGGCCTCAATATGCTCGGTGGTCAGCTCTGGTTCATAGCGACCGCCTTCCATGACACTTGTGTGCTTGCCGCTTGGCGTGTAAAGTCTTGTCGGATAGGCACTGCTTGCTATGGTACTAGTGTGTGAGAACAACAAGTGCAACCGGAGAGTGAAGCCTAGGTATGGAAGGTGGTATGCTGTCTCTACGTGCGGTTCATGTTGCGGCCGGCGGTGGGCTCAAGGAGAATTCAAATCGAGAATGCCGTCGCGTAAGGCAATATCTGTAGCCTTTAGGTAAAGGTACTGAGTTAAGTTAAGGAAGTTAGGGACTGGGGTTCTCAAAAACGCCATTCTTATGGCTGGTGCGTGGCGCAATTTCTGCGTACCTTGCCTTGACAGGCACCTATCTTACCTACCTTACTACGGATATATGGGAACCAAACAGACCCGTTATGTAATACCCCGCTCAACTTCACCCAGTTCCGTCATAACCTCGCCGTCCTGCCCAGCCAATCCTCACTGGTAGTGAACAAACCGGAGCAAGAGCCTCAGGAAATATCGAGCTTCAGCGTTCAGGATTTGTGAATGCAGCATAAGCCCTTGACTACTGTCTCTTGAGCTTCCAGGTCTTGTGATTTGATTGCGTCGCACTATCCCCCCACAAAGGACATCAACTGGGCCGGACGTCCCCTCCACTTGGTTCGCAAAGTCGATGTTCGTGCGGCCCAATAATTGGCGTTTCACGGCTAGAGTCTACTGGAAAACGCCAGCTTCACCAATCCTTTGTCGACGATCTACACGTACCTTCAAAACGATGGAGAAGGTCAATACTACGGCCCGTCTGGCCAAGCTACGTGAACTGATGAAAGAACGCAATGTCGAGATTTACAGTAAGAGACCACATCTATTTGACCTTGAGCACTTTATGCTCACCTTAGCTTCCACCAGTCGTGCCTTCAGAGGACAATCATGCCTCCGAATACATTGCAGATTCGGACGCGCGACGGCCTTATATTTCGGGTTTCACAGGTTCAGCCGGTGTAGCCATCATCACTCCGGACACAGCAGTACTGTCCACAGATGGCCGATACATTATACAGGCGACGAAGCAGCTGGATGATAACTGGACCTTGCTCAATTCGGCCCTGCCAGAAGCCCCGACCTGGCAAGACTGGTCCGCAGAGCACTCGAGTGGCGGCAAAAATGTCGGGGTGGATGCCTCGTTAATTGCTTCGTCCATGGCCAAGAAATTGCAAGAGAAGATTCACAAGCGGGGAGGCGCAGACCTGGTACCACTTGAGGAGAATCTAGTTGATCTTGTATGGGGCACAGATCAGCCACCAAGACCCCAAGAGCCCATCATTGTCTTACCCGATGATCTTGCTGGCAAAACTGTCCAAGCCAAACTCCATGACCTGCGACTCGAATTAGGCAAGAGGCAGGCAATTGGCTTTGTCATCTCCATGCTCGATGAGATCGCCTGGCTCCTCAACATGCGGGGCAGCGACATTCCCTACAATCCGGTCTTCTTCTCGTTCGCCATCGTCACACCTGATTCCACTACCTTGTACATCGATGACGCCAAACTGGACCACACTTGCAAGAAGCACCTTACCGAGAACGAAATCCACTTGCGGCCATACAGCGCCATACTTGACGATGCCCGAAGACTGTCGGCTACGGCCGCCCAAGCTCAACAGCCTATAGGGGATAAGGGCACTGGTTCACCACACCGCTTGTTGCTCTCCAACAAAGGTTCCTGGGCACTTCATCGGGCATTGGGGGGAGACGATATGGTGGACGAAGTTCGCAGCCCCGTCGGTGATGCTAAAGCTATCAAGAACCCAACAGAGCTGCAAGGCATGCGTGCGTGCCACATTCGTGACGGCGCAGCTCTCATTGAATACTTCGCATGGTTGGAAGACCAGTTGGTAGCCAAAAAGGCGACCTTGGATGAGGTCGAGGCCGACGACAAATTGATCGAGTTGCGGTCGAAACACGATAACTTCGTCGGCTTGTCCTTCCCAACTATCTCGTCAACAGGGCCAAAGTCAGTCCTTATCTCTTCCATACCAATGCGTCGAGCTAACCTGGATACCTAGTGCTGCTATCATCCACTACAAGCCCGTGCGAGGCAACTGTTCTGTGATCGATCCAGACAAAATTTACCTCTGCGATTCGGGTGCTCAGTTCCGTGACGGTACAACTGATGTCACACGTACCTTGCATTTTGGCAAGCCTACTGATGCCGAAAGAGAGGCATACACACTCGTTCTGAAAGGGAACATAGCGCTTGATATGGCTGTTTTCCCCAAAGGAACGACAGGATACGCGTTAGACTCTCTGGCCCGTCAGTATCTCTGGGTGAGTCCCAATGATGCCTAAACACAAATACCTGGTTTCTCCGCTGACACTGGCAGCAATACGGGCTCGATTACCGTCACGGAACCGGTCACGGCGTGGGCTCCTACCTCAACGTGCACGAAGGTCCCATCGGCGTTGGGACCAGGGCGCAACACGCCGAAGTGGCGCTCTCTGCTGGCAATGTCATTTCAAATGAGCCGGGCTTCTACGTCGAAAACGAGTTTGGCATCCGCATCGAGAACATCGTCATGGTCATGGAAACCAATACCAAGTACTGCTTTGGAGACAAGCCGTTCCTTGGATTTGAACATGTCACCATGGTGCCCTACTGTCAAAATCTAATCGACTCGAGCCTGCTGACAGAAGGCGAAATCAAATGGATCAACACATATAACGCTGAGATCATGGACAAGACCAAGGGGTTTTTCACTAATGACCCCCTCACAATGGCATGGTTGACTCGGGAAACCCAGCCAATCTGACGGATAGCTCTCAAGAACACTTGCTTAGGTACGTTTGCTACTAAAGTCGGACAAACGCGGCTAGAGTGAAAGTCACAATAAAGGAGCCGGCAAAGTACGGACTCTCTTGAACCCGTTGCATCCACGCCGGTTGCGAAGCCAGTTTCTTTATCCCCAACGTCTGAGTGAGATCCACACCGTAGCGTGATGCGATCTAGCAATCGTAAGTTAAATGATGTACACTTGTAGAGGCAGCATGGTTGGGAAATACGTAGACCACGAGCGCTAGAGTGCTTCCAAGAAACACCAGAGTGCGGGAGAACAGTGCGACTAGCGCACCTGTACAGAGACCTGACGAGGTGAGTTACAACTTTGGACCTGGAGATTGGCCCGAAAGCCGTTCAGACTAACCGGCGAGGCTACCACTGGAGCACTGCTGGAGCACCTTGGACGACATTGGCGGTTTACTTTCAGTCGTAGGCACTGGCGACCGGCGCGTTATTGCATCAAGGCGCGCAGGCGTTGTGCCTGGTCTCATATGCCATGCAGCACCAATGCAGATGCCAGGACCAAACCCAGTTGCGAACAGCCGCGTGGCCCGACGAAATGTGGTTGAACGACTCATATCGTAAAAAGTAAAAGGCTCGTCTGACTTTGCTCAAAGGCTATGGTTGGACATTGGTCCCAAGAGTTCAGTCCTTGACTGGGCGACGCGGGCTCAGGTCGAGCATTTATTACGTCAAGACTTAGCTCATTCCGTAACGAAGAATGACGCTAGAATTGGGTGCTTCGTGTCCGTAGTCTCAACACACGAGCAGCTGAGGACCTAATTAAGTAACGAAATGCCAGCATATCGTTCAACTCAGCTCGAGCGAATCACTGTTGATAATTGCAACAAGAAGCAGAATTGCTCCCACTTGTTGTCAATTGCAACGGAGCAGCAGGCGGAGCAGGACACTAACAAAAGCCTAGCCAACCAACCTATTCGCCAGCCACGTCTCTATTCAAAGCGAATATTTGAGCCCCAATGGTATCTATCACACTTAACGCCGAAACTTCCAAATGCACCACATCGATCGCTTCCCGATACAAACGCTCTTCTCCAAGACACGGTCGGTCCCTGGCTTTCCCGTCCGCTCGGATTTTAACCCAACCCTCCTTGTATCCCCCGAATCCTGCGTGCCAATATGATGTCTTTCCTCATCAGGGTAATGCGCTTCGCATGGATGGCACAGAGGTTTGCATCTTCGAATAGATACACAAGATATGCTTCTGCGGCTTCCTGTAGCGCCTGCAGCGCATGGCTTTGCCAGCGGAATTCAGCGCCCTGTGGTCTGCATGTCTGACCTATTTCACGGCACTATGCCATCAGTCAGCATTGAATCTTCGGCGAACCGAGCGCAGAGGCATACCACTCGAGCAAACGGCAATTTGGATACCAAAAGTTTAGTGTTTGACTGATATTTCCTTATTTCGCGTAGAGCCACCGTCCCTGGCTTATACCGGCGTTTCGTTTTTAAAGGTGAACGGTAAATTGGATCGCCTACTGTAGAGTAAAATCAGCTTCAAGAGCATGACGGATGCTCGTGCAAGACAAGGTATTTACGTTGCGTTTCTTCAGGCCTGGGCTTGAATTTCTTTGGTGGTTTTGAGGCGTAGTCTGCTTCTGAAGGGCGCCATTGATTGCTGCCGCGCTGCTTCTGCGCCTGGCTCGTGAGGGCTGCCTTTGGTGAGCGCTTGCCGGCTGTCGATGGGCCAGCCATTGTGGTATTCCCAGGAATTCAGGGCGAGGGTTTTGACTGAATGGAAGGCAAGCTGTAAAAAAAATCGAAGGACTTTCGTGTGGTGTTCCTGGAAACTGGACTCAAGGCAATGTAAATGTGATATGTACTCCGTATGAGAGGATTGAGTACGCGGGCATAACGCGGAAGGTGTCGCGACGCGTTGGTATCCCAGCCACGCGACTTTAATTGAATCTGGTGGGTTGCTGTGAGAAAACTCGCGCCACTTCTCGTGTCTTGGCGGCGGCCGATCAGCCACTGCTCCCACGAACTCCAGTCGACGACCGTCAATCAAGGGAGCAACAAGGTTATCCGTACAGAGTAGCTGAGGCGATCATCATTCATGGTTTTGTTGGACTGAATTGGAGCTCAGCCTCATCAGGCATAAGGTAATTAATTACCTTAGCTGGCTTACCTTATCTAGTAAGGTAACGCGGTCACGGCGCTCTGCTGGTGGGGCACTGGCGGGATTGCCACGTTCGCCTCTTCTAGGTCAAACACAAACTTACCTAGTACATAATCGTCTTCACCTCCATCTACTGCGTACTCGCAGCTTCGCAAGAAGTTCCGCGCATACATTTAACACCACGTAAATTCATCTTCCGCAGCGCAATACGCCTCCGGTCACCAAGTCTCATGGCGGCTTGAACCGTCATTTTGGATCCCAGAGGTCTTTGTTCTGTAAGGAATATACACACCAAGCCTCACATCATCCGGCTGGACCAATGGACCAAATGATGGATGGTGGGCGGCTGCCTCTCGAAACTTGGTTCTGGGAGATGCCCATTTGTACCCGCTGGTGGACCGCTGCGACCATCATGACGAGCGCTCTTGTCCAGTGTCATATGGTCACCCCGTTTCAGTTGTTCTTCAGCTTTCGCGCCGTTTTTGGCAAGTCACAGGTGAGACAAGTTTCTTGGACGTACGAATGATTGCGGGCGTAAGCTGACGAAGCTGGCAGTACTGGCGACTATTGACGACTTTTCTCTATTTCGGACCGTTTTCACTCGATTTGCTCTTCCATGTATACTTCCTGCAACGATACGCCCGACTACTCGAAGAATCTTCTGGTCGATCGCCTGCTCACTTTTCCTGGCTGCTCATGTACGCGATGGCGAGCCTCATTGCACTATCGCCTCTCGTCTCTATGCCTTTCCTGGGCCAGCCCTTATCCTCCACGCTCGTCTACATCTGGTCGCGACGCAACCCCGATACACGTTTGAGCTTCTTAGGCTTGTTAGTGTTTACCGCGCCGTACCTGCCTTGGGTCTTGATGGGCTTCAGCCTTGTCATGCATGGTAGCGTTCCCAGAGACGAGATCATGGGCGTGATAATAGGACATGTCTGGTATTTTTTCAACGATGTGTACCCGCCACTGCACAATGAATCCCGACCATTCGATCCTCCGAGGTGGTGGAGACGCCTTTTCGAAGGTCGCGCAGCGGACAACGAAGGCAATAACAACGGCAACGGCCTCATAGTAGCCGAGCCCAGAGATATGGCTGTACCCGATGTGGCGCCATAGGACGGGTGATGCTTCCTGGCACTGCATTCTCATGACGTTGTGGGTTCATCAGGTCCAACCTTCAAGCTGCATGTTCAATAGGGCGAACCAGTTGTTCTTGAATGGCAATCAAACTTTGCCAAGGATCTATGCATTTTTACATGATCACACGGTCTCATACAGCATAGGCTCATTTCACGATGTCTCCATTGCATCGATCACCTGCGGATTCCACAACTGGGCCGTCGCCACATTGGAGCAGACTCGGAAGAATATACGTGGGGCTGAAATTTCTATGATAGCTGCATACCTGAGATGAACGACTGGAAATGGCATCGCTTGCTCCAATGCAATGTAAGGTAAGGTAGGTACGGTGTAATTTGCCAAGGTTAAGGGCGACCGTCTGTTGGGGAGAGATATTACCTTACCTACTTGCACGCTTTTTGTTCTCGCCCTGAGCACCCGATAAAGATCTCATGTTGGCAGGAACTTCATGAGCGGCGGCGCTCTGGAGCCAACAGCCTGCTATTGAATACGCAGTACCTCGAGAAAATACTAAATTATCCTAGCATCTTGACGCTCTGTACTGAGTGAATCGCTGAGACAGCATGGGGAGGACACTGTTTGTTCCTTTTCCTTTCCATTGAGGCCGCAAACCGGAATTCGAAGCTAGCGAGTTTACCACGTGCTGAGCGCCGACTCTCGAGCAAGCGTCCGTGATAACAACCAAACCCATGTTATCCATTCCCGTGCGCTTCTTTCTGTAGGTTTTCTCCAGCTGTGGCAAGGTAGCGGCCGGGGTAAACTCGAGTTCTATCAACGCTGGTAAGACTTAATTCGACACCTGCTCTTCTGCCCTGACTGTTTAGATGAAAGCAATCAACGCATTGGCTGGCAGCTTTGATTGGAATTTGGTCTCTGCTCCTATGTATTCGTGCTTACCAAAAGATGCAGCGAAACGATTCATGTTGAAGTTGCTTACGAGGGGCCCACAGGGCGGTTGACGTTGTCTCGGGCTCGGACGGATGATCAATGCAGTGCACACAATCTTCCCCACTCTTGCAACCTCAAGTTATTCACCTCAAGGCTCATTGTCCGTACATCTGAACAGTCCTCTTCATCATATTTCGGCCTCTTGCGACCATGAAAGCATACATGTATGATGGCCTCCCGGTGAGTAGATGTCATTTTCCGTTACCCGACGGCACGCACTGATCGCGGTGTCATGACGTAGGGTGATCAGCGCCTCCCTCACGATTCTGGACGCGAGGTTGGCATCGATGCTCTGGCCAAGTTGGGCGTTCTATATTACCATCTACCTGAGATAGACGGAGTGAATCAGCTTGCTGCGGAAAGAGGATACAAGAACCGCGACGAGATTCGCGTCTCGCCGGAGGCGATGGGAGATGTTTACGAGGACAAGGTTAAGATGTTCTTCCATGAGCATCTTCATGAAGATGAGGAAATTCGTTACATACGTGGAGGACAGGGCTATTTTGACGTCAGGAGCAAAGATGACGAGTGGGTTCGTGTACTCCTCGCGAAGGATGATTTGCTCATCTTGCCGCCGGGCATTTATCACCGCTTTACCACGGACGAGTCCAATGTGAGTACCAACGACCTTTGGCTTCGTGGTCGGGTACAAGTCTGACATCTGATTTAGTATGTACATGCCATGCGCCTGTTCAAAGATGAGCCCAAATGGACGCCCCTCAACAGAAGTTCCGACTTGGACGTCAACACTCATCGTCAGCAATACGTTCAAGAGTACCTTCGATGAAATAGCCAAAGCTATGATTTGGCTTCTCTGCCTCTTCAGACCGTAGATCCTGTCTCGTGCAGCTGAAGACGATATTTGCATCCTCTTACTGTTCCCATGCCATTTGAACATTAGCCGCTTCAAATCGCGGGCTCAGAGAAAGGCTAACAGCACCGTTGACTACCAGGCCTTCCGACCGTCAAATAGATGGCAATGTCATATTTCCGCCACTCGTAGTTTGTAGCAATCTCGATGAATGTTCAATCAGGACCCAATCGAGGCTCAAGGGTTGCGTCAAGATCGATATGTGGTTGAGACCTTGAGTGACCGCTGGGATGTTGAGATGGGATTAGGTGCGGACCGGAATTGAGCCGATGTACAGTGTATGTATCCTCGCCTGTCATCATGATCAGTCGCGATTTGCGAGTCCTGAGAATCAATCTTATACGTTCTTACATGTGTACATCCATGGTCAGGGAATCAGGCGGCGTGCTACCAGTCACCTTGTAGTTCCAGTCGATTGACGCATGCGCACAGCTCAAGCCGCCGTGATGAGCGTCAACCCCCCTCTTACTCAACGACCGTCATCGTCCGACCATCATGAACCAGGCGAAAAATCGAGGCTTGAGCTACCGGCCAGCTGCGACCCTCCCCCAAGCGGTACACCGAGCCATCAATTAGTATGGATCGTATGTTCCCCCAGATGTGTCAGTGAAGGGCTCAGGCACTAAAGCCTTCGCTAGGTCTTCGGCGGCACCGGGCACATGGGTCGTTCCCTAGTGAAATGCGCACTCTCGCGGGGAGATTTTGTCGTCTCTGTTGGGCGCGTTTTTGAGGATGACCTCCACGATACCCCTGGTCGCAGCGAGAACCTGCTTCATGCTGTTTGCGACGTCAGGTCACGCGAGTCAGTTCTGCGCCCTGTACAGCGCGCCCTGGACCATTTCGGACGCATCGACGTCGTCGCCAACTGTTCAGGCTATGGCGTGATCGGAGCCTGCGAGGACCAGGACGAGCATGATCTCAGAAATCAGTTCGAGACTAATTTCATGGGTACGGTCCATATCATCCACGCGACACTCCCCTACTTCCGTCGACAGAACGGCGGTCGATACCTGATCTTCAGTTCCACATCTGGAGCTTTGGGTGTTCCCGGTCTTGGACCGTACTGCGCTACAAAGTACGCAGTTGAAGGTCTCATTGAAGCTATGCTTTACGAAACGGATGCATTTAATATCAAGGCAACGCTTATTGAGCCTGGGCTCGTCAGGCGTGACGAACCAGTTACGGGCGACGATCCTCTACCTACATGGGGACATTTCCTCATCAAACCTCCCAGCGAGAGCTACGCGCATGCAACATCGCCCGCTTTGCATGCGAAGAGGATGGTCCAATGGTTGGGTGACCGACAACCAACCAGTGCTGTCAAGTGTGCTGAACTTGTTTGGCAGCTGGCACATTGCTTATACCCACCATTGAGGCTTCTTCTTGGTAGCTATGCTATAGAGAGTATACGTGACCGCATGAGATCAGTCACAGAAGAATTGGAAGATTGGAAGCACCTGAACTTCCCGACTACAGCTGATGGTGAGTTAGCGATGCAAGATGATGCAGCCATTGGGGAGGAATCTTAGCGAATCGAAAGATAATTTTCGATGTGTAGATTGTCTGCTGATAGTTCAAACAAGTATTGATATCGACATTGTTAAAAGTGGCTAAAGAAACTGGCTGGAATACCTCAACGGCGCCATGAAATGACTAAGCACCCCTGACACATTCCAACGCGTCCTCCCAGCCAACATACTCGCCGATGCGTCAAACACACCTAGAGATTCTTTTCCATGAGCGTCAGTTGCACGCGACACCAAACCTGCCCATTCCCATGCGCTCGCCGTGCTCCACTCTTTAATTACCAAAACGACGGAACCTCGAACATCTGCAACGGTCTATTCTAAGGACGCAAAGTAACCCGAGAAACGCGGATCCTGCGACTTCATGCAAATCGAAACCTAGAACTGGCCGATTGACCATACCCGACGGGAATATAGTCCGACAACACCGCGAAGGGCTCACGAATCACAATGACAGACAAGAAGAACGAAGACTATGTTGTGCGCATGTCTGACCATGCTTACAAAACGGGAGACCGTTCTCCATTCGGGTCCATGTCGCCCTCCAGCAAGCCCTACGGTAACGGATCCGGCGGCTCTACGCTGTCTTCCTCCGTTAGCAAGCTTGACAATAGTCCCATGATCTCTATTCTAGCTTACTGCGCCTCGTCGATTAGCATGACTGTTGTCAACAAATATGTGGTTTCGGGGCAGCATTGGAACGTCAACTTTCTGTACTTGGCCATCCAGGTAGTTTGATTCAATATCCGTGGTGGAGAATTTGCTAACAGGAGCGCGCAGGCCATGGTTGGCACAGGGGCTATCACTGCCTGCAAGCAATTCGGTCTGATCAAAGCTCTTGCGCCCTTCGAGTCGGAGCGGGCCAAGAAGTGTACGTATCAATTCCACCACATATCTCGTCGCGAGACTGACTCCCGGCAGGGTTCCCCATCTCAGTCCTCCTGGTTAGCATGATCTACACGGGCGCCAAGGCTTTACAATACCTCTCCGTCCCAGTCTATACTATTTTCAAGAATCTGACCATCATCGTCATCGCTTACGGCGAGGTATTGTGGTTTGGTGGCAGCGTTACCCCGTTGTCCCTCGTCTCATTTGGCCTCATGGTCATCAGCTCCGTCGTTGCTGCGTGGGCCGATATTCAAAGCGCCCTTGCTGGCGACTTTGGCACTGCCTCTTCTTCGGATGCCGTGTCAACGCTGAACGCTGGCTACGCATGGATGGGCATGAACGTCTTCTGCAGCGCATCGTACCTTTTGAGTATGCGCAAGGTCATCAAAAAGATGAACTTCAAGGATTGGGATTGTAAGTCGTTTCCAAAGCGAGCATGCTCCTCTTCTGCTCTGCCTCGCTAATCACGCGCAGCTATGTACTACAACAATTTGTTGACGATTCCCGTCCTCTTGGTATTGGGTCTGCTGACTGAAGACTGGTCCTCCGCGAACTTGGCACGTAACTTCCCCCCAGAGCTTCGCGTGCGCATGGGCGTAGGCATTGTCTACTCAGGCTTGGCTGCGATCTTCATTTCGTATTGCTCCGCCTGGTGTATCCGCGTAACATCTTCAACCACATATTCAATGGTCGGCGCGCTCAACAAATTGCCCATTGCAATCAGTGGACTTGTCTTCTTTTCTGCGCCTGTTACGTTCGGCAGCGTGTCGGCCATTGCGATTGGCTTCGTCAGCGGTATCATCTATGCTCTGGCTCGCGTCAAACAGTCGTCTGCTGCGAAAGACTCGCTACCGATGACGCGGATACCAATGAGCGCTAGCTCCCAGAGCAACAAAGATGCGATATCGTAAGATGCTAGAGACTGGCTGCTGAGATCATTGTCTGGCAGAGCATCGTCGTCGAAGCTCAAGCCTACGGGCAATGTCACACAGTCATATGATGACATTGTCATCATCGTGTGATGGCTGCCATCCGCGGGCCAGATGGAGACGCAGACGCAATCGGCCCGACACCCTTCATACGCCATATGCGATGTGCGGTCCAAATCAAACATCTCAAAGCTTTCGTCGCGTTCGCGTCAGGTTTCGGGGCTACTTCATCTATCCGACCAAGACGCAGATACTTGGAATGACAGACTACGGGTCACGACGCGCGGGCCCAGTATGATACTACTCAAATATGAACTGCTATACCAGGGCAATGCACGTTTAGGGTCTGTCGGGAAAATAAATAGGTGACGAATCCAATGACTGAATAAGGAAGCACATGATGGTGGCCGTGATCTAGCCTGCGTACAACAAGGAAGGTAACGTGCACCAATCGTGTGCGCTCTCGCGTGCATGGGGGTCTTGTTTGCGCTGTACCCACATGCGTTGCGCCGCCGCCTCCAAAACGCTCAAACCCTTCCTTCATAGCATGCCCTCTACGTACATCATCCACGACTGCCGCGTTCTGTACCTTACTTGGAATGGCGTAACGTAGTTCCTTCGCTCTCCTCGTGTCATATTGTGTTTCGATCCGCACAGCCGTCTGATCTCCGCCGAAAGTAATGCTCTACTCTCTGCATAGACGTAAGGACAACCACATCTCCACGAACATCGACAACCATGTGTGTTGAGATTGACGTCATGGGTAGCTTTCGAGGTCCTCGCAGAAACTATAGGAGCTTCATCCGACGAACGTAAGTCGTATTCACGGTTTTACTCTACGGTCAAGATCTGACCAAGCCTTGTAGTCAAGCTTGTTTCGTCCTTCTTGGTGTCGTACCCGCTCGCCGGGCTTCTAAAACGGATACCTGATTCGAAGCCTCAACAAAAGAACATCTTCAGTATAGGGTACGAATTATCACCTTGAGCGCCTATACAACAAAGCCGTAGCAAACGATTGAGCCGTCCTGACATGACCGCAGCATTTCGATATTTTATTTGGTCGGGTTGTTTGACTTGTGGGATGGCGCCTTGACCCTTCTTGTCAGCTCCGGCGGCGCGTACTGCATCGCAACATTTTTGCGCAACAGCACGTATATGCCATGGATCGCCTTTGCTTTCCTAATGGGCCACATGTCCGTGAGCCACATTTGGCGCCAACTTCTCAACAACCCCACCGGTGTCGACATAACAGGCGCACAGATGGTCCTGGTGATGAAGCTGAGCGCCTTCTGCTGGAATGTCGCCGATGGCCAACTGCCCGAGGAAGAGCTGTCCGACTTTCAAAAAGATCGCATGTTGAAAGAAGTCCCTTCTGTGGTGGACTTCACAGGCTACGTTCTCTTCTTCCCGGCATTGTTCGCTGGTCCGGCGTTTGATTATGCTGAGTATCGCCGCTGGATCGACACGACCATGTTCGACCTACCCGCGCAAGTTGATCCTGCGAAAAAGCCACCCGTTCGAAAGAAGCGCAGGATCCCACGAAGCGGCACTCCAGCCACGCTGAAGGCTTTGACGGGCCTTCTGTGGATCGGTCTGTTCATGTGGCTGTCTGGTCCCTACAGCCACGAGCATCTTGTCGCGGATTCCTTCATGACATATGGCGTTGTTCGTCGTGTGTGGATGTTGTACATGACTGGCCTCGTGGCTCGTTTCAAGTACTACGGAGTCTGGTCCCTAACCGAGGGCGCCTGTATCCTGGCAGGTCTTGGCTACGCTGGTGTAGACCCCGTTACTGGCAAGGTTGCATGGAATCGTCTTCAGAACATCGATCCATGGCAAGTGGAAACCGCGCAGAACGCCCGGGGATACCTGTCGGGGTGGAATATGAACACGAACAACTGGCTGCGGAACTATGTCTATTTGCGGGTGACACCGAGGGGCAAAAAGCCAGGCTTCCGAGCAAGCATGATCACCTTTGGTACCAGCGCACTGTGGCACGGTTTCTATCCCGGATATTACCTCACCTTCTTGCTTGCGAGTTTGATCCAGACGGCGGCCAAGCGTAAGTTGATTTTCTTTGTGGTTCGAATCAGACGCAGTTATACTGACATTGCACGCAAGATTTCCGGAGGCACGTCCGTCCCTTCTTCATGGATCCATTGACTGGGGGTCCCTCTTCCAAGAAATGGATCTATGATTCCGCGACTTACGTTGCAACGCAACTCACCTTTGCGTTTGCAGTTTGCCCCTTCTTGATCTTGTCCATGTCGGACTCCCTGCGAGTGTGGGCGCGTGTTTACTTTTATGGGCTTCTGTGGACGATAGCAGCGTTGATCTTCTTCGCCTCGCCGGGTAAGGCGATGCTTCGGCGGCAGCTTGAGAAGCGGCACGGCAGAGCCAGTGCTAGGATGGTTAGGACTATCAGCACAGAAAGTATGTCTGGCGGCCACCCCATCCTCGGCATCTCCAAAGACCCGGAGGGAGATATTACTGAGGCCCTCGGAGAGCTCAGGGCTGAGGTGGAGGCGCGAGAGAAGCAGGCCAAGAACAAGTCATCAGAAAAGGAGAGGGCCTAGGAAATACTGGGCAAAGGCAGGTATCAAAGCCGAAACTGCCAAGTTCAAACTCAGCGACCATGAGCGTCCACTCCGGACTGCGAGTGCCTGGCTTGCTGGGAAACTTCCAGTGTCTCACTATTAGGCACACAACAGGCTGTCGTGACCCAATCCAGCGGATCTAGACCGCAAAAGAAAGATGTAGTAATTAAAACGCCAAGCTGAATGAATTACAATGTACGTCCGTCGCGGGACATAATAATTTCCAAAGACGGTCCCCACCTATTCCACTTTGACCAGAACTCAAGTCTTGTGAAAGAACTAGAGAGCGCCGTCTCCCAAGAAAGAAATATATAAATGTGTCGCTAGGTGTCATGAAATATGCTCATAACTGATCACTCAGGATCATTCCGAAACGTTCCCTGTAATTTCGTTGTCGTAGGATGTCATACACAAACATTAACGTCGTAAAGAAAATTCCAAACAATATAAACGGCGTCATGGTGACTTGCAGCACCACAGTCGGTTGTTCGATAGTGAGAACACAGCTCTCCCAAGGGACATCAAGTCTTGACTAGTAGTGTTCATGCCAGCTGTTGTTGGGTTCCCAGGACGATCAAAGCAATAGCCGCAGCAGTGAGAAGAATACCAACAACAGACAGGCCCCTATTAAGAGTCCGCCACCATCGAGAATTGTGGTAAAGTGTCTCCTGGGCTAGGTAGGACTTCAGAGCCGGCTCGCCGGCCACGTTGAGATCAACCGTGTTGCTATGCTCCATCATTTCGCTGGGAGGTTTTGATGGTAGGGGCAGGCAGGCGGCGATCATCCAGGCTTCTCGGAGTTAGCGCTTCACTTCCTGGTCAGTACAGAGGGTAATCTCACCAAATGGTATAGCAAAGCCAATGACGAAACATATTTGCTGTCGGTTCCTCTTGAAGACTGCGCCGCTCTCCACGGACCTGGTCACTGGTGGCGGGGTCCACATGCTGAGATGGCTGGCTCTGCGGTCCCGATCAAGATGAGGCGACCAGACGCTTGAAGTTTGTTTCTTGGCCACCCGGGCTATCGTCTTCATTCGGCTCGAAGGTGCTATTGAGGGCGCACTAGAAGGTTGCCTCGAGCACGAATTGGCTGAGGCAATGTGCGGGGTGGCAGGGTGCGTCTCGTTATTTGCCTCTGACGTGCGCTCGTGTTGCCACCGCCAAGGGGGACCAGGAACAGGTGCAAGCCGCTCAGTCCTAGGTGAATTGCGCAGAAAGCCGGTATAATGAGGATCATTGTACAAGGATCCATTGTAAAGAGACCGAATAGAGTCTGAGGAAGCCTGCGCCACAAGAAACCGCTGGTCACCGCCGCCGTAGTACAAACGGACCCAAGACGGTAACGAGAACGGGTTGAGACTGCGGGTGCTGCCCGATGAACGTAGGCCTCTTTCAGCAGGAGTGTGGGCAAAGCCACCGGCTAGCCGGGTTCGAGACGATCGATGGTGCAGAGTATGCAAGTCAGCGAGGCCATCGCCATCCTCATCAAGGTTGCGGATCAGTCTGTTGTTTGTTGTGTGCTCTTTGTTCATGGCATGTTCGCCGTGCGCCGGCGGGGACCAAGGGGAACATGCATAGGAGGCTGCGGCTGCTGCTTGTTCGTCCAGACCGCCAAAGGAGGACCCCATGCTTAAAAGATCACGACTGTTAGTACTGCTTCGGCGGTTGGGAAAGGACCACATGGAGAGTGAACGTGAGGGCGGTAGACTGTCTCCCTCGCTTTCCGACATGACGGTCGATAAGGCCGCACTCCACTGGTAAGCTCTGGGCAGCGTGCCGTTTGAAGAAACGCTTTCGCGTCGGTTGGAAGATGGTTGGCTGGTCGTATTCGCGGGAGAATGTATCGGCGAGGTCCCAGCAAACAAGGCGAGGGTGGCTTCTTGAGTCATGGCGGCACCCAAGGACGTAAGAGAGCCTCGGCGCAGTGACTCGCGAGAACGAGAAGCGAGGGCGCCTGCGCGGTCAGAAGATCTTGTCTTGACAGGTCGCAAAGGCGCCACAACAAGGCTCTCACGAGAGTACTCTGACCTGGGGCCCCGGTTTGTAGCCGGCCTCGAGCCAGCGGACGACGGCGGCCCGAGGACAACATAGTTGGCATTGCTCTCGCCTGTATTCGGACGAAAGCTGTCGGAGAGGGAGTAGTTTTCCGAGGACGACTCGCCGAGGATGTTGTAATTGCCAGAATGGCTTGATGAAGGGGCAAGGCTGCGTTCGTACTCCCCCGTCAGGGCTCGCGCTACCGGTCGCACAGGAGAACTCTCGCCGTAGATCTTGAAGTTTGTTCTCTCGGATAATGTCGAATTGGAGGCTGTAGTTTGAAAGGAGTTCTTGTTAGACAGCTGAGCACCGGTCGCACCATATTCGGAACAATAGCAGTCCGGCAAGGGCGGAGAGAAATTCGGGGCATCGGGTGTTTGAGCCAGCTGCCCCTCTCCGTCATCTGGCAACTGCTCCAGCTTTCGAACGCCGCTTCCCATCCGCGGCGTCCAAGGGGTTTCCGGCGTTAGGGGCGATCTGGAGCGATCCTTGACTCGGAAGATGTTTGATGAGACGCGACCCCAAGAGCTTTCGGGCGTGGTGCAGGAGAACTGAGATGAGCCGAAGAAGCCAGCTCCTGACAACGACGGGGACTGCGATTGCGGAAGCAGTGAGAAGGTCTTGCTATCGGAATTGACGCTGATGACTCTTTTGCGACGGCGAGAGGATGTGGACGACGGCGGCGGTGACGAGGTGCGACTCGACATGCTCAAATTGTCTGGGTCGAAGGTCGGATTTGACGGGGAACGTGTTGGGCCTGAAACACCACGCCTTAACCGGGACTCCTGGTCAATGTCCTGGTATGGAACCGGGGCTAGGCTGGACGCATTTTTGGGGCCGGACTGGGTCTGCATCGGCGAGATGGGCGGTGCGTTTTCTTCCCCGGCATACGATCTGGACGTCTCCCGCGAGCTTGCTTGCACGGATCCACGAGAGCCAATTCGGGGGGGACTGTACGGAATCATGCGTATCTGGAGCTGTTCGTTGCGTTGTTGCAAAGCCCATTGCGCACTCAGGTCAGCAGTCTGAGGCACGGACATGTTCTTATCGAATTACAATTGCGCGCTTTTCATGACAGTAGCATGGGAGCTGCACTCCTGGAATTCTGGCGTTCGTTTTGACGACTTTCTTTCACTTCTATCCAGTTGTCAAGTCGCCAAGGTGTGTTGCACACAATGAGGAGAGTGCAAGTTCGCTTGAATTCAGTAAACAAGTGTTTGCACAGCGGTACTTCGTATTGTCGTAGTGTTTCGTATCGTCGTGGGATGGTTCATCCGGGGGTTGACTCAAATTAGAACTTGAGGCTTTGGAGTGTTGGCGCGCGTAATGGCATTAATTACAGGACAGGATGGGAAATGATGGCAATGAAGAGGAAATCATGCAGGGTTTAAAGAGTGACAAGAAGAGAAGCGAGGGGAACACACACCCGCACCCGTAACGAAGAAGAGCAAGAACAGCTTAATGAATGTGGTTTGAAGGAGTGACGGTGCAGAAGCGCTGGATGGTGGATGAGAAAGGTCGAGAAGAAGGAGGTCAGACGAGTGGGCGGCCCGTTATTAGTGGTGCAGTGGTGGTGGTGGCTCTGCCGCTCTGGGTTGGTCAACTTGGTCCTGTATGGTAGGCTTGAGTGCGTGAGGATGGGTCGCCGCGATGCGGGTTGGCCCGCACAATCTGAGATGCCTGACTAAAAATGAATCATTCGTTCATTATTGATACGTACGTACTCCGTAGTCTAGATACGATTACCGTTCTACGTGTACGTTTGTAGTGCTACTGCCTGAGCCTCTCATCAATGGCCTGAACGCAGCGGAGGCACGACCCTGGGGCCTGAGTCGGTCGCCGAAACATAAATTGGGGCCACGAGCCACATGGCCGCCATGCCAGCCAACCAGCCGCTGGTGCTCATCGCTCTGGGCGAGCCGCGAGACCATGATGGCATCGAGCTGCACTCTTCATTAAACATGAGAGGGGCCCTTACCGCCTCTTCACTCTTCACCATCTTCTGGTATGGTCGGTGAGTGATAGATTGCAAATAGCCAGCGACACATGCCATGGCCCTTGATCAAGCAACGACCTCAGTCTTGTCATCTGCATCGTAGCACTGATCTAATTACTAGCGGTAGCCTCGACGTAGCTTAATGTGATGCTGGCGAGTGGTAACTTTTGCAGTCAATTTCAACAATTACTCCGTATTAGACTCTTACGGAACAATAGACACTGATAAAGTCAGAGTGCGGTGGCTGTACCTGATTCCCTCGTACATTAGCAAGGCTTCCCCTGCAGAAGCGCGCGCGCAACCGGCCGGGGGCCTGGCCGGCTGGCCCTGTGGTCAGACAACCATCCCAGTTGAGCTAAATACTTGTTGCGAAATGCCTCCGTTTCCTGTCCCTCCTCGAGCTCAGGTACCTGATGAGGTAGCCCCCGTGGAAGTTGGGAGAAGTTACAGCAGATGTCCCTTGCACACCGCCTGGCAGGTCGGGCAGGGCTCATCCAGACTCTTGTTCCCTCGCCCACTTTTCGCATTTCGCCTAACACCATTCCGCGTTGGCGCTACCAGCTGACGCCTGTACACAAGTATTGTACTCATCAGGCTCGCGACGCGTCGCGGTCGGGCGCGTCAAGCTCGCGTGGCACCGTTTGGTGTCGCGATGCTTGGTCGACCGACCGTGGATTCTGAGGTACGTACGGATACTTGTAATCAATCAGTGTCTCAGTTCGTCTCGGGACGCATCGAGACTTGTGACCGTGTCGTTTCTCCAGATGAGGCTCGTGACTGTGTGTTAGGCGAGCATGAGAGCCACACTACGTTGCCTACGGGATCCGTACCGACATACGGAATTAATCATGCACACCAGCGTTTTGTCGTTTCGGCACAGCGTCGCTGGCGCTTGATCGCTATGACGACTACGGCATAGTCTGGGATTCACCACTTCGTAGTCGTATTTATCGGCAGCCTTGCCGTTGGAGCGATCCGTGTCCGCAGCAAGCGATGAATACGTTTGACTTGGCTCGTGCATCATCAGATCACTGACAATGGTAAGGTTGCCTCCAACGACCTCTACGGAGTGCGCAAAATCTATATTATTAGACATTTTCTGAACACTTATGTCCAAATGGGAAAAGACCAATACCAAGCAGTGTCGCCGGGGAATCGAATGACTTTTATGTACCTACCTTACCTGGTGAACAGACCGCGAGTGACCATACCGTCTTGTCTGCCCCTCCAATCCCCCACTCCTCCATTCCACCCTCTACCAAGTCTGAATTGTTACTATTCACAAGCCTCACTCACCTCCATCTTCTTACTTAGTTAGTACCACGTCTCGGCCGTCGACCATGCGAGTAGACACGACATCACACGAGCCGACAGTCTCCAAAGTGCAGGCATGCAGTCTTTTGGTCAGTCGGTTTCGTGTCACTTGAGTCTTCATTCATCGACTCACGGGATTAAAGTTGGCATATTGTCTCATTTACGTTCTGCCTCTGCACATATACCGCCCAGCTCGAGCGTCACCTGAACGCTCCCGAGATGACCCCGCTGCTATACGCGCCCGCATACGCGCTGTCAGCGTCTCCACGGCGGCGTGCTCATGCGTTACCTTTGTCCTGTTGTCGACGTATGCCGCGCCCTGGCGCCTGATGGGCTATTGGCCTTGCGGTCTGCAGGAAACAGTCCAAATTCTATGCCTCACTGCCACTCTTTTCGCGGCTCCATTGTATGAGTATATCATTATCGACGGCGCCTGGTCGGATTGGTTGCATCTGCGACCGCTGCGACTCCTGCAGCACGACTGGCCAACTTGGAGAAATCTTGTCGCGGTAGGAATGTAGCGAATCCCATGGACCTGCGAGTCGCTGACTTACACTCTTTCTGCATAGGGTCCTATCACTGAAGAGTGCCTCTTCCGCTCCGCGTCTGTACCACTTCTCTTAGCGGCTGGGTACAGTATCTCGGCCACCATTTTTCTTTCGCCTCTTGTCTTCGGCCTGGCTCACATCCATCACTTCTACGAATTTCGCAAGACGAACCCAGGGGTGCATGTCGGCGCTGCTGTGGCACGCTCGGTCTTGCAATTCTCGTACACCTATCTCTTCGGCGTCTATGCTACCTTCATCTTTTTGCGTACAGGCTCGACGCTCGCGGCAATCGCTGCTCACACCTTTTGCAACAGCATGGGTCTTCCTCGAGTATGGGGGCCGGTAGAGCCGTACTGGCTCCTTGAGGGCGCGCCGGCGCATCTGAAAGGCGAAGAACAGAAGCTGTGGACAGCGGGATACTATGTACTCTTGTTTGGCGGTATGGCGGCTTTCTGCTATGCACTCTTCCCCCTCAGTGTGTCAGACATGGCACTAGAAACTTTCTGAATGATGAGCACTCGCGCCGCGCATGTACCTACCTCGTCACGCCTACTGGCGCAAATCCAGATTCAGTCCTGGCATAGATCCAGGCATGACCGATCCATCCTCGTCTACTGGCCTCCGCCGCTGCCTGAGTGAGCTTTGTTCGCGCGTCTCTTGTTCCGCTGCAACCTCCTTTCGTGCTTCCTCGCGTAAATCTCTTCCTATTTCCTTGCCCTTGGAACGGCCAACCGAGGCATTTGCCTCTGCCATGGCATCGTCTGGCCCTCTGGTATTCTTCTTGCGAGGCCACAGACTGGGCAAGGCGATCTCCTGGAACCGTGGCTCGACGGCTCTCTCATCAAACCATCGATGCAGGCGAGCCTCGACGAGCTGCGCGATCTTGGGGACATCCTGTAGGCGGGATCGGCTCCCTAGCAGACTTCGAATCGAGAAGTCAAGACGGTAGTCGTCAAGGAAGCTGAAGGTCATCATGGTGGGGGTCGACTGTGAAGGGTTGCTTGGAATGAACGATATCGAAAGAGTGCCGCTGAAACGGACAATCGACACGGCCAGAGCTACTGGTAGCATAGCAGACAGCTTTTTCGGGTAGTTGAGAAGCAGCTTGGTCTCAACGGCAAGAGTGAGCATATCGCTCAGGTCCACGTCCATGCGAGCTTGCAGCCGTGTGCCGTCCCGAGCAGCCGTAGCGGGATCAAATCTCTTGCTGTTGGAGACGCCCAAACCGTCCTCATCCACCGGGATGATTCTGCAGTTGCTGAAGATCGGAAAGTCTTCCCCCAGGCTTAGCTCCGTGACCCTGATCTCGTCCACAAAGTCTGGTCGCGAACTCCCGTTCAAAGCCTTGGTCAATGAGCTGAGAATTGCATCGTCGTGTTGCGCGTCGCTCCGAAATTGGGCAAGGGTTTGCGCGATGAGCACGTTGAACCAGTCCAGGCTTTCTGGCTGGTGGCTATCCACATTGTAGTAAGTCTTGCTCAGAATGGAGCCGATGGTCAGAAACGGCGGATTTCGAAGCACCATTGACTTCTTCCTGCCCGGCGGTTGCCCTTGTCTGCTGTTCTGGGTGTGCAAGCTGAGGAGGGAGTGCTTGTGCGCCAGAGTCCTGGACCTGCGCTCTGTGGCGCGAAGCGACGCCGTCACGTCCGGAGAGGGTGCGTCACCGAATATGAAAAACTTGATAAAGGCGGCGAGAATGAGCACAACCGACAGTTGTCCGAGGATGAGGCCCTGGGTGAAGGAGAGTCTAAATGTCATAGTCAGTAGCTGCAAGGCATTGTGAGCTTCCGCACACCACTTACGTCGGCTCACTACGGACAGGGCATGCTTGGGACGACATGCTTGTCAGCCATCAACTGAATGTGCGAGTTGGGCCTTCTGTTTCGCTACGGACGAGTGAGTCTTGGACGTCAATGACACAAGGTTCGCCCAACTCCAGTTCCTCGTTTTCTGGAGCAGGTTCAAGACTAGCGGCTTCGTCGGCCTGTGACGAGCTACGTACCCTGCTTCGTTGACGCCTTCCTGCGAGCATTCAAAAACTCATTTTGGAATAGTGACTTGGAATCGAGGTTTTGCTCTGAGATCACCGAAATCAATCCCAGCTTTAATCGCACCTCGGTTACTTCAGGTGGTTGGAATTGACCAGGGCCAGTATCCCCGAATATGTGGCAATGGAGGGGTTTTGCAACTATCGAGGGCTAACCCACGTCACCCAATGCATTCAGTACATGTAATAGCTCACACCGTCAGACGACCTAAAGTAGGAGGGAACTATCAGAACCATCAACTACGAGCTTCCGTTGCGATACATAATCTCATTCGCGCAAACTCGCTGATTGCTTCTGAGGGCCTGGGCAGTATCACCTGTCGACAGCGCTGCCGTCATTGCTTTTCTCTACCTCTGGAGGTTTTGGCTGCCTTCGACGACCACCCATCGGTATCAGGACTCCCACCTCTTCGCATTGGGAACAGCACCACGACCTGGTCTCCTCGGATCGCAAAGGGGAACGCTCGCCCACCATGGACGTTGCGCAGGCCGTGGGCGGCTACATCACCAAGATCGTGACGCATGGTAGCGACACCACGTCAACTAAAATGAAGACGTTGCTCCTAGATCGCGAAACGGTCGCAATAATCTCAACTGCCGTTACTCAGTCGTCTCTACTCAATCACGAGGTGTATTTGATTGACCGCTTGGACAATGCAAGTCGCGAGAAGATGCGTCATCTTCGCTGCCTCTGTCTCGTGCGCCCATCACCCCAGACAATACAGCTGCTCATTGATGAACTACGCGATCCCAAATACGGAGAATACTACCTTTATTTCACCAATGTGGTCAAAAAGTCGGCTCTCGAGCGTCTCGCTGAGGCCGACGACCATGAAGTCGTCAAGTCGGTCCAGGAGATATTTACTGATTACACTGTCATCAACCCTGACCTGTTCTCCCTTGGTATCACATTACCTCAACATCGAATATGGTCCGCTAGTCCAGATACGTGGAACCCGGACACCCTTCAACGATGCGCAGAAGGTCTCATTGCCGTGCTTCTTTCACTCAAGAAGAAGCCGCTCCTGAGGTACCAGAAGAGCAGTCCCTTGGCCAAGAAACTGGCTTCAGAGGTGAAGTACCTCATGACGCAGGAGGAACAAATCTTCGACTTTCGTCGAGCTGACACGCCGCCTATTCTGCTAATACTGGATCGACGCGAGGATCCTGTGACGCCCTTGCTGACGCAGTGGACTTACCAGGCTATGGTCCATCACCTTCTGGGGATTCAGAATGGCCGGGTAGACTTGAGCGAGGTGCCAGACATCCGTCCCGAGCTCAAAGAAATTGTCCTGTCCCAGGATCAAGATCCATTCTTCAAGAAGAATATGTATCTCAACTTTGGCGAGCTGGGGGGGAATATCAAAGACTACGTCGAGCAGTACCAGTCCAAAACCAAGAACAGCACAGACATCGAGTCTATCAACGATATGAAGCGCTTCATGGAGGAATACCCCGAATTTCGCAAGCTGTCTGGCAACGTGAGCAAGCATGTTACCCTTGTGGGCGAGTTGAGCAGACGAGTTGGCGAGGAGGATTTGCTTGAGGTCAGTGAACTCGAGCAAAGTTTGGCTTGCAATGACAACCATAATGCCGACTTGAAGGTAAGTGTTGATGTGATATATGCATGATTTCCTTGTCACTGACCAGGCTCCAGAACATTCAGCGCTTGATACAGACAGCGAGCGTCAGCGCTGAAAGTAAGGTCCGGCTGGTAGCATTATATGCTCTGCGACACAGCAAACACCCCTCCAACTCGGTCCCAATGCTCATGGACCTCTTGACTGCTGCCGGAGGAGTCGCACCACGCCAAGCCAATCTCGTCAATCATCTCACAGCATACCATAGCTCGCTTCACTCCTCTCAATCACAAGGGGGTATTTCGGACATCTTTGACTCGGCAGGGATCTTCTCGGGAGCATCGAATCGATTCAAAGGGCTCAAAGGTGTAGAGAACGTGTACACTCAACACACACCATTGCTGGAAACTACACTGCAGGATCTAGCCAAAGGCCGGCTGAAAGAGCAGCATTACCCTTTTGTGGAAGGCGGCGGCTCGACCAGAGACAAACCTCAGGATGCCGTGATTTTCATTGTCGGGGGTGCCACCTACGAGGAAGCAAAAATGGTCACAAGCATCAATGCTTCTACGCCAGGTGTCCGCGTGGTTCTTGGAGGTACGTCTGTCCATAATTCAGCGACGTTCATGGAAGAAGTCGAAGACGCCGTCTCAGCCTGGCCGGAAAGCAGGGTCAGGATGAAATAGATCCCTCTACTATGCCACGAGCGAGGAAATGGGACACTGCTAGCGTTTGGGTACCTTTGACTAGAAGTCATCACACTACTTCCTTTGAAGCTCACCCGGAGGCAAAGGAATTAATTCCATTAGGTACCTTTGCCATACCTTAAAGTGGTGTGTCGGTTAATTGCATATTTGTGATATCGGCCATTGACCATATTCCCGGAAACTAAAACTGATTTAGTACCCTACATTTTACAAAGGCGCATCACGTCAATACGATGGGCTGCGAACTCTTGCCTTGACTTTCTGTACCTTCTATCAGGTCCGCTCTCGAGTTTCAGAAACTTACACAGGATCATGATTTGCGCAATCCGACGAGCACGACTGACGAGACTTCGAACCACCCGGCAGGGTCAGCAAATCGGTGGTCGACGTACCCTGGCCTCACTCGCCGACGCCCAGGGACTTTACGATGTTGTCGTGATTGGGGGCGGCCATGCCGGTGCTGAAGCATGTGCTGCGGCGGCGCGATCCGGGGCCCGGACAGCCCTTGTTACCCCCAGTCTAGAAAACTTGGGAACATGCTCGTGCAACCCAAGTCTAGGTGGAATCGGCAAAGGCACAATCATTCGAGAAATCGATGCGCTGGACGGCCTAGCGGGGAGAGTCGTTGATAAGTCAGGCGTGCAATTCCACGTTCTGAATCGGAGAAAGGGTCCGGCTGTCTGGGGTCCGCGCGCCCAAATCGACCGCAGCCTGTATAAAAAGCATATGAGGGCCGAACTCGAAGCATATTCAAATCTTACAATCATCCTCGACAGCGCATCCGACATAATTCTTTCCGAAGATCACGACACCGACTCGAAAAACAAGATTGCCGGGGTGAGGCTAGACTCGGGCAGCATCCTCTCCACGACCAGTGCCGTCATCACTACAGGCACTTTCCTGGGCGGAGAAATACACATCGGACTGCAAGTCTACCCATCGGGGAGGATGGGAGAGGCAGCGACTTTTGGTTTGAGCAAATCGTTGAAGGATGCCGGGTTTCAACTCGGTCGCCTCAAGACAGGGACACCGCCGAGGATAGACAAAAGGACAGTCAATTGGGATATTTTAGAGACGCAGTACGGTGATGATCCGCCGACCCCTTTCAGCTACCTAAACGACACGGTTGCTGTGCGCGACCAGTTGACCTGCAGCTTGACATACACGAACGAGGCCACGCACGATGTGGTCCGCGCGAACCTTGACAAAACCATACATATTCGAGAGACTGTCAAGGGGCCGCGCTACTGTCCCTCATTAGAGTCAAAGGTCGTTCGATTTCCGGACAAGACCCGTCATCTCGTCTGGCTGGAGCCCGAAGGTTTCGATAATCCAGTCATCTATCCAAATGGGCTATCGATGACCATTCCAGAGGAAGGGCAAGAACAAGCGTTGAGGACAATCAAAGGTCTGGAGAACGTCAAAATGCTACAGCCTGGATATGGTGTTGAGTACGATTACGTTGATCCCCGGATGCTGAAATCAACTCTCGAGACCAAGGCTATTGGCGGCCTGTATTTAGCTGGTCAGATCAACGGCACGACTGGATATGAAGAAGCAGCTGGCCAGGGCATTGTTGCGGGTATCAACGCTAGCCGTGCGGCTCGTGGACTTGCGGGAGTTTCGTTGTCACGATCCGATGGGTACATCGGCATCATGATTGACGACTTGGTAACCAAGGGTGTCACTGAGCCATATCGCATGTTCACGTCTCGTAGTGAATTCAGAATGGCTGCGCGCGCTGACAACGCCGACCTGCGCTTGACGACAAAAGGGCGGGAGTGGGGCGTTGTATCTGATAAGCGATGGAGTGCGTTCAGCGAAGAAAAGAGCGAGATGGAGAGTCTAACGAATAGACTTGAGTCGATGTCTCTCAGCTGGAAAGAGTGGGCGGACTTTGGAATTATTGCCAAGAAAGATACCAGTCGCCGAACAGGTCTCGACATCCTCAGAACACCTCAGGTCATTGGTCTCAGCAACATTGAGCGGCTCAAGGCGGCTTTTCCGGACATCGATCGATTTACCTCCCGTATCTTTGAGCGGGTCAACCTACACGCCATGTATGCACCTTACATCAAGATGGCTGCTTCGAGCCAGCAGAAAATGGCCAAGGACGAGCAAATGAGGCTGCCATTGGATCTTGACTACAACAAAATCTTAGGCCTGTCCATTGCTGAGCGTCAGGCCCTGTCCGCCACGCGACCGGAAACCATGGCGCAAGCTCGCCGCGTCGAAGGAGTCACGCCGTCAGGGTGTCTCCGACTTCTTCGATACGTACGTCGTGGCACTCAGCCCTCGGAAAGAATCGAGCTTTCGAGTTCGATCAGCCCACTCGATGCTCGTGTACAAGTATAGGTGTAGAAAACATTTCTAGCATTCAATCGGCGTTCTAGGAATTGTAATTATAGGGCTCTCTAAAAAAGAGCAACTTCATCGACGATCTGGGACATAGCTGGATCTTTATATACATGTTACAGAAGTGACAACAGGGTTAGCTTCAATTCTTGGGTGGCGTTGAGGGCTTGTTCAAGATTTTCACAGCATCCTTACTGTACACATAGCTTGCACCACTCCAAATTGTTGTGGCGGCCACAACGTACCTGTCATCGTGATCAGTAGGCACAGCGAGCCTCGGGACCGGCGGTGCCACTTACTGCATAACGGTCATTGTTGGCCCAATATCCCAGGTGATAAGAGGTGCAGCCGTCGTCAGACCAATCAGCCCGACCTGGAGGACTGTGTTGTACTTGCTGATAGTCGTGGGATGGACCTCTGCGGAAGGTAGAGAAAAGTCCCAGTATCTGGTAAAAGTCTTTGGTGGAGGTAATGAAATCCACCGGTAGTATATCGCTGCAATCGCGAGACCGACGTCTCTGCCCAGTATAATAGTAGCCAACCACACTGCGAGGCAAGTCAGTCTCATCCTCTGGCTGTCAAAGCACAGTCTGATCACATACCAGGCAGTGCTCCTTTGACAGCAAGGCACACAGTCAAGATGGTCATCAAAGCCTTGTCGGCCATGGGATCAATGATCGTGCCCACCACAGTTTTTCTGTTCCACTTGCGCGCAATCCAGCCATCGACTAGGTCTGTGACTCCAGCATATGCGAATAGTCCAGCAGCCCAGGCATGATGGTCGTGCAGAACTAAGTAGCCCACAATTGGTGCGGCTACTAATCGAGTGAATGTAAGAGCGTTCGGGATCGTGTAGATGTCCTCGTGAAGAACGTCGTCTTTCGAATCTTTTCGCGGTGTCGGGACTGTGGACGAAGGCTCCTGAAAGATGCTTCGATTGCCATCAGGATTTCGTTCCGAAGGTCAAGTAATAGAGTTCGTACCTGTCATCTTCTCGCTTCCGCTGCGGAAAACGAAGCGCAGAGCAAGTTGCGAAAACGCATCTCGGCTGCGTTCCCGTCAAGGACCTTTGCAAGCCTACCGCAGGACGGTGAATGCGGCTCACGAGCCTAGCAGTAAGCAGCATGACGCTGGCATGAGCTAACGAGCATCCCAGAAGCCCAGACTCTTAGCCAAGGTCAATTGTGCTGTACTGGGCTAACTTCAAGTCGAGGTTGAAACCAAATCCGGCGCTTGTCAGCTAAATTAGATTGGGAGGAGAATTGCAACTGATAAAAAGACTATACCGTATCGGTCGCAAAATTCGTTAAGAGCATACCTCACTGTTAGGAAACGCGAGTAGGACTCAACCTCGATTACCTTTCCACGGTTATTGGAACATTGACATTGGCATTCATTGATTTCATTAACCTCATAAAATACAGTGGATTTTTGCGGTGATGGCAGCAGTCAATCATATGAAGGCATAGCTTTCTGAGAGCGAACAGTGTCGGCGCGGGACCACGGTGCTAGTAATACCCGTACCTCAGCCAGTGGTAACGTCAACGGGCTGTTGCCTCCTACAGTCCTACTTTCCCCAGCGTGAAAGGGGTAAGCGTCGATAACCAAGTAAACATCTGCTCTTTTTCAGTCTCATCTAATCGTATCATTGAGCGTACCCAGCGCACGAAATAGTGCAGCACTCTCGTTATGGATGTTCATCTATTGGTATACGATCTCTCAGGTGGATTGGCGCGACAGATGTCGTTAGGCATCCTTGGTTTCCAGCTTGACGCTATATATCACACCTCGATCGAGTTGGGCGGCCGCGAGTATGTCTACGACCGTGGTATACTGGCTATAACTCCAGGCTCGTCACATCTTGGCCGACCACTGGAGCGGCTCTTACTGGGAAAGACCAGTTTGACTTTCGATATCATCGATGAGTACCTTGACTCTGTGCGGTCCATATTCACAGCCGATGTTCGTCTTCCGCTCCTCATCTGACTCTTCGAGCGTTAACGTGGCTAGGCTTACGATCTTTTCCGTCACAATTGCAACAACTTTACAGACTCTTTTGCTAATTTTTTGCTGGGCAAAGGCATCCCGGGTCATATAAGCAGCATGCCGCAAGCTGTTCTCGAGTCGCCCATGGGACGGATGCTTCTCCCGGCACTGACACAGGGCGTCAACAATGGAAGGCAAGATGGATCCATTATGGGCATTCAACAGCAAGATCGTTCTGGGCCCCAAAATACTACGTCCACAGTCATCAGTGCGGCAGGCTCGACGGAGCTAGCACATATATTGGAAAATTCCAGTGCTTCATGCGCGGTGATTTTCTTCACATCAAGAGCCTGTGCTCCTTGCGAGGCACTTGACTCAACATACACCCAGCTGGCCCGAGACTTTGGAAGTCAGGGCATATTTGTCAAGGTCGACATTGGGAGAACACCTGATATCGCCAACCAGTTCTCCATCAAGGTTACGCCGGCATTCGTCACTTTTCTCAGGGGCCAAAGGCATGGTGATTGGGCTGGTGGCAGTCCCGCGAATTTGCGACAGAAGATCGAGCTCCTGTGTCAAATGGTAGCAACTGAACATCCTCACCTACGGCTCAAAATTCCAAGTTTCTCCTCACCAGTCAGTGTCCCAATCACCTACGCCAAAATCCCGCCACTGTCGAAATCCCTCTCTAGGCTAGGGGAGGGAATTGCTGCTCCTCGGGTGGTGAGAGATTTGAGGGAGTACCTCGAGGTGCGAGAAGGCAAGGGAATGCAGGACGTCGTGCTACCGAGTCTATCTGACCTCTCAATCTTCGTGAGACGAGCGTTGGAAGAGGTGCCGGTTGAGGATCGATTTGTCATAGTCGATCTCCTACGATGTGCAGTCACCGATCCTAGGATCAGTGGATACTTCGCTGAAGAGAAATCCTACCAGACTATTATGCGAATTCTGGTTTTGGTTGATGACGGGTCAGGTTACCCGTACGCTCTGAGGCTGGTTACCTTGCAGATGGCGTGCAACATGTTCACCTCGCCACTCTTCGCACGGGAGCTATTTGCGGGGGGTGACCTGTTGCGAGCCACGATCAAGCTCATCTTGACCGGTTTTCTCGATGGAAGCCATAACAGCTCGAGGGTTGCGGCTTCGTCCTTGTTATTCAATGTCGTTGTGGAGGACAGGCGTTTGAAAAAGGGGTCGCCAACTTCAGGGCTCTCCGATTCAGATCGGGTGGAGCTAGCTGCTGCTCTTTTGGAAGCTATAGGACAGGAGCAAGGTTCCGCTGATGCGTTGAGGGGCATGCTCCTTGCTCTGGGGCATCTCTTCGCTGAAGCCGACCTAGACGGTGAACTAGCGGATCTCTTGCGAGTGCTGGATGCTCAGCACACAGTTCTCCAAAAGAAGGCCATTTTTGCAGGGGAGCCTTTGCTGGACGAGGTTGGCGGAGAGCTGCTAGGTAAAGGCTTGGTAAAACCTTGACATATCGACTCTATGTTTACTTTCTCAGGACCTTGACAGCATGTAAAACGATCAGCACTCTCCATATTTCCTATCTTGTGTGATGTCCAGGATCAACAACGAAGTCGCAGACTCGAGGCTACCAACGATAATACACTTTAGATACAAAGAACCGGCTCATGATTACACCTCCGGCAACAAGGCAGCACTTTACTTGCTTTGTATGTGTTTTCGAGTTCGCCGCTATACTGTACAGGGTAGGTTGCCGCTGGTGTATGCTCCAGGAAATATGTAGCGTCGGTCGGCATTGACAAGTCCCACCCCACCCAACGCCGCCTTACGTGCGATGGCGATAACGTACAAAGGCACCCAAATAACGACTGCTCTCCTTTGCAACCCGTCGAGCAGATACTATACTCGACCGTCAACATGTCTTTCGAAAGCGTCATGCCACCGTACAACTCCTCCGATCCGACTGCCACATTCCTCAGCTCCTCGAGTCTCGATTTCCTCCTAATTGAGCTGGTCCCCCTTGCCTACCGTGTCACAACCGAACAGTACCCATCAGCGTCGACGGCAAGTGGCGCGGCGGAAACTCGGTCGACCACAGCAAACACTGTTATAGTCACTTCACCGAGTCGCGCTGACGAAGATGAGCCGACTGACGCTGTTCGCCATAAGCTTGAAACAACCGGGTATCGTGTAGGACAAGGGCTTGTCGAAAGGTAAATGGGCGCAAGTGCTTTCGCGGTCTTGCAAGCTAACTTGCCTATGCAGATTCTCCAAAGATAGGCCGCGCTTCAATGATACCTTGGATGTCATCAAGTTTCTATGTAAAGACCTCTGGTCTCTTGTTTTTGGGAAGAATATCGACAACCTGAAGACGAATCACCGGGTAAGCATCCCATTTAGCACGGCGCTTACTACGAGCTGACAAGCCTATGCAGGGCGTATACGTCTTAACGGACGGTGTCTTTCGACCTTTCTCTCGCATGAGTACAGAAGCTGGAGGGCAGGCCGTGGTGCGAGCCCAGCCAGTAAGCCTACATGTCACAAAGCTGTCCATTGCACGGATTGCTGATGAGTCCAGTATCTTTGGTTTCCGTGTGGTATTGTCAAAGGCGCACTTGCTGCCCTGGGCATCGACGCTACTGTTCAAGCTGAAGTCCATGAACTACCGGGTGCGATCTTCCAAATCAAGACGGACCAGTCCAAGCCATGAGACGCTACAAAACGTTCCCGAAGAGTGATCCAATTCGCCAAGCATGACGCGTATCATGCTCCCACACGTATTCCGTAAACCCTTGGTCGGTTGGTACTTCAAATGAGCCGGTCGGGCACCCAGGATCGCCTCGGATAATGGCAACTGGTGGGCACGTTGGTCGATGCTTTACAGTCTGTCGCAAACACAATCATCAGCCCCGTGTTTCTTCAGATTTTATTATTGCTAGAACCACATCTATAGGTCTGCACAATTTCTTGACGGCAACTGGACGCTCACCAACATTGACCGAAAAGGGGGAAGATTTACTTCTGAGGGGGGTTGTGGGCAAACTCGACACCCT